GCGAAAAAAAAAAAAAAAACAAAAAAAAACAAAAAAAAAAAAAAAAACAAAAAAAATTAAAAAAAAAAAAAAAAAAAAACATTTTTAAGCAACAAAATTAATCCAAGTCAAATTACAATGTTCAATTGGCAATATTTTTTCGTTTCGTTTATGAAGGAAAAATCAAAGTAGAAAGAAAATTCTGTGTCTGTGTGTGTGTGTGTGTCTGTGTGAATGATTTATATATTCGAGTATTTTTTTTTCATATGATTTTTTTTGTATAAGATGCTTTTGGAACAACAAAAAAAATAAGGCAGCATTCCAATTTTTTTAGGCACAATATAGTATAGTTGAACTTGTTCATAATGGTGTGGCAATGATGATAAATTGGCAATGTTTGTTTGAAAACATGAAATAAAAAGAATATGTTTCAGGAAACCGAACTGGCAGCAGTTTGTTGTTGATGATGATGATTATTTGAATGTTTTTGGCCACGTTGTGATGACATTACTTTAGCCACATCCGAATGTTTTAATTTTTTATGTTCTTTTAAATAATCTTTTCGGGAATATGATTTTAGACAAATATCACATTCATAACGTTCACGATCAGCATAATGACGTGTCATATGTCGACGTAAACTACTATAAGCTGTAAATGTTAAATGACATAGATGACATACACAAACTTTGGCTATAATTTTAGTAGAAGAAAAAGATGATAAGAATTTTTTTGGTTTGACAAAAAAATAAATATTTACTTGAATTATTTGATTGATTTGAACCGGTTAATGAATTTTCCAATATAGGACCAACAGCAGCTGCAAATGAACTTGAATTAAATGATGAATTATCATCCATTGTTGAATTGGTTGGTGATGGTGATTCATCTAATGATACGATTGGTTTAACATCAGCTTTATGTTTTAAAAAGATTAAATTAGAATTGGAATCAACAACAAAAATTGATCAAAATTACTTACGATAAAATTCATCATCCGAATCATTCATTGACATCATCATTGAATCTTGTGCCATTGAATCACCCTAATAAATCAAAACAAAAACAAACATAAATCAATGATGAAATGGATCGATAATTGATTGATTGATACTTACATTTTCATTATCGCCAATATTTGATGATGTATCACCATTAGTAGCTAATAACATATGATGATGATGATGTTGTTGTTGTTGATCATCATCAATATCATCAATATCATCACCACCTCTATCCGCATCATCTACATCATCATCATTATCAACATCATCATCATGATTTTGTTGTTGTTGTTGTCGTTGTTGAGTATTACCATTTATCATTGATTGTGGTGGTGTTGATGATGATCTTTGATGATTATTATTATTATTATGATTTATAGAATTATTATTATGACCATTATTATTATTATTATTATGAAATGAATCAGAATCATTATTATGATTATTATGATTTGATGATGATGATGATGATGATTCTTTTAAACGTTTTGTTGATGATGATAATGATAGATTTGATATTGATTCATCACCATCACTACCAATATCATCATTATCATTATGATGATTACCATTACCATTACCATTATGACGACCATTATTATGATCAATATGATGATTATTATTATGATTATGATTATTTGATGATGTTTGTTGTCTATTAAACATTAACATTTTGGCATTATTTGATGATGATTGATGTCGTTTGTTGTTGGTTGTTGGTGATGTTCCAAATCCATTTGTTTTGCTTGTTATCATTGAATTTGAAATACCGGTAGTTGAAGAAGCAGCAGCGGCTGCAGCCGCTGCTGCTGCTGCTAATGAATTAAATGCAGCTGCTGTCATTGCATCAACACCACCACCACCAACACCACCATTCGTATTATTCAATACATTTGCTAATGCTAATGCACTACCATTATTATTTTTATGTTTTCTTCGCCGTTTTTTAAATCTTTGTGCCATAAATGCTAGATATGCATTTGATGGTTCCGTATTATTATTATTATTTCCACCATCAATAATATTTGATTGATCATTGATATTATTACCACTACCAGTTGATGCATTGATTGCTTGATTTGTTAATGATTCTAATGCTATACGATTATAAAAATTAGCCATTTCATTAGTTCCAGTTGTTGTTGTTGTTGTTGTTGTAGGTGATGGTATATTTGTTCCATTTGATATTGGATAACCAGTAGAATTAGAAATATCATTTGATAAAAATTGTCCACCATTATTAAAAAATGCATTACCATGTTTTTCATTAACATCGGTTAAACCTTTTATTTTTAATATTTCAGCTGTTTTTAATAATGGTCCTAATTGTTGATACGATACATTTACTTCACCTGAATACATAAAACTAATAATTGCTTGTAAATCTTCATAATGAATATCTTTCAATATCACAATTGGATGTTTACATGGATTATTTAAAAATAAATCACGAAAATATGTTGAACATGCTGATAATATTAATTTATGTGCTTTGATTGTAATACCATCATCACATGCTAATGTAACATCAACAAAATTTTCATCCATTAATAATTCATTGAACACTTTAACCATATTATTACGATGATTATTCCATTTAAGGCAATATTGTTGTTGTTGTTGTTGTTGTTGTTGTGCTGATGTCGTTGAAGCCGATGATGAACTACCGGAACCACTTCCACCACCATGATGTGATGATGATGTAGGTGGGGGTGGTAATGATAATGATGGTGGTGGTGGTGGTGGGGGTGGTAATAATGATGGCTGTGGTGATGGTGAATTATTATTATAAAGGACATTCATCTGTTGTTGATTTTGATAATAAAAATGTGAAAAAAATAAAAATGTATTTAAATTATTTGTATTGAGAAAATTTCCGGAAACGGACATTAAATTAGCCATTCCAAAAAAAACAAAACAACAAAAAAAAATTCTGTAAAATTTCTCAAAATTTCAGGTTTTCATTCTCACACCATTCACAAACGAAAAATATTTGAAAAAAAAAAATTTAAACGTTCTACGTTTCAATAGACAAAGAAAACTATTGGGATCACACAGTGTAGGGAAAGGTATTAGAAGAAAAAAAAGATGGCCAATCTGATTAGATAAAAATCATCATCATCAACATCAACATGATGATGATGCAGACATCGATCCAAATTAAAAGATTGGAGATATTGATAGTCGCTGTGTTTTTGGTCTCTCTTCGTCTATACTTTTTTTTATTGATTACAAGAAACAGAAACGATAAGCGGTTTGTGTACGAAACAAAAAAAAAACACATATAGATTTGAAATACACGTACACATCATAGATGTGTGGTTAAGTTGTGTTTCAGGAGCAGCCAAAGCAGCAGCTTTTTTCAACTTTCGTTCCAAAGTAACAAACAAACAGACAGACAAAACATCTATTCATTTCAATTCATCCGTTTTTCATTCATTCATTCATTCATTTGCAACTATTTCGACATCAATGGATTATTGATGATGATGATGATGATTATCATTATGGTAAAATAGTATGATGATTATGTAAGAAAAGAAAAAGTTTTATCCAAAAAATACATAAGAAGAAAATGAAACAAAAACAAAAAAAAATTGATCCAAAATTGAAATTGAAACTGGGCTAAATAAGTGAAAAAAAATGAAAATGAAAATGAAAAACAGCAAGCAAGCAGGCAAAAACATGTTGATCATGTCCATGATGATCAAAGATGATCGAAATGAAATGAAAATCAAAAAGTTAAGAAAGTTAATCATTTAAGAAATCTTTAAGAATGAAGGCTTGATGTTTTGGAACACACGATCATGATCCAACAACCAAACAACAACAACAACAACAACAACAAAGATCATCATCATCATGATCTGGCGTAATCGATTATCAGTTATATTGATGATGTTTTTTAAAAAAAACATCATCCATCCATCGATTAATTGATTAATTAGAAAAAAAAAATAAATTATGAAACAATTTTTCCAAAAAAGAATCTTTTTTTTGGAGAATAGTTTGGACTATTTCTACCCAAGTAACTGATTCAAATCAATATCCGGTGTTAATAAATCTGGCTGGAAAGAAAAAAAACAAGTTATGCCGTTTGGAAATTTGTATTTCCAAACGGTATAACGATATATCAACGATAAACGATCAACATCCATGAGATGTGTCGAAATAGTGGACCGAACACACACATAGTGGATCTTTCACGCGTAACAATCACATCACATCATGACTTGTGCTGTAATAGCCTCAATATTAAAAAAAAATCCCATTAATGTTTGCAACTCTTCTTCTTCCTAGTTTCAGGCTAGTTTCTTTATAAAAATGAATTTCACCTGGCGTCCAGAAGATCGAAAAAAAACCAAGAAAAAAAAACATCAAACAAAGACAACGTTGACCACCGCCATCATATCACCATGATGATGATCACCACCAGTGTTAACGGGGAAACACAAGAGAGAAACTTTTTTTTTGTTTTTTCCATAGAAATGCTTTTCCTAAAAGTTTCCCTTCATCATTAATCGAGGTTACATAAGAAAAAAATATGGTGATGGCTCCCTATTTTTTTCTCATTTGGAATTAAATGTGGTCCAAACAACAAACAAAATGGGCGCCCTTTTTTTCATTCGAAAACAAAACTAAAATGTTTTTTTTTTGGAAAATGAGGACGCCCTGACCTGACGACCAAACAACAACAACAAAAACAACAACGGCAGCCATAAAGGTAAGTTTGGGCCATCTGTTTTTTTCTTTGAAAAATAGAAAAAAACGAAACGAAAACAACGATGATGACCAAAGGGCAAATCATTACTTTTACTTTAATTCGAATCAATTTTTCATTATCCTTTTTCAATGATGATTTTGGAATGATGATCGATAGCTAATCACTTTATATATGAATGTTTTCTTGTTAGCTGGGCGCCATCATATTTTTTTCTTTTAATCTTTTAATCCTTTTTCACGTTAGGCGATATGTTTTTTTTTCGCTTTTCTTTTGATTTTTTTTCAAATTTGAAAAATTGAAAACGACCCGAACCAAAACCATAAACGATGATGAGCAAAGCAGAAATGATGGTAGAGAAAAAAAACAAAAAATCCGGAAGTAATCATATTTAACGAAAGTAAAATCAGCGAGAGAGAGAGAGAAGGCTTAAAATGATGGAGAATGATGATGATCATTGAAAAACCGAAAAAACAAAAAAATCCAGAAATCCAAAAATCAAATCAATTAATTTTGCTTTTCCATTTTGGGTTTTGATGATTTCCCGGTTGAAATAAAAAAAAACAGGTAGAGAAAATCATTTTTTTATATCAAAAAAAACCTGAAACGTGGTTATCATCAAATCGTGAAATCAATTTCTATCCCTGCGGTATACGAAAACAAGGAAATAATTTTCGGAAAGAAAACCGAAAACCAAAAAAAAAGAAAACCGGAATCTAAACATTGAACCAAGAGGAAAAACTTAAACGAAACAGAAATAACGAGAAAAGTGAAAGTGAAAGAGAAAGTTTTTGCCACGTTGTTCCAGATGGAACAACAACACGTATTTATGTAACCTGTTCTTTGGTGGCTGTTTGAGATGATGATGATTTTTGGTCAAAATTCATCATGATTTGACATGATTCAAAAAATTTATGAAGAAGAAGAAGAAAAAATCCTGATTTCTCTCTCTCTCTCTCTCTCTCTCTCTCTCTCTCTCTTCACTTCACAATTCAATGATGATGAACAAACGGGCAAATAGCCGTTGGGAGCCATTTTTACTTTTTTACGAAGAAAAGAATGGCGAAATACAAGCCAAGACAAGTTTTTTTTCATTTCATTTCGAATCGTAAAAAGTAAAAGTGAATGGGAAAGTGAATTGGAAAGTTAGAGAGAAAAAGTGAAAGTAAAAAAAATTATCCCAAAAGAAAGCCCAATATCCAAAAGAAGAAAGAAGTAGAAAAACACCGAAATGATGAAATGAGGTCACCACCATTCACCACCATCATCATCATCATCATCTTGATCATCATCATCATCATCATCAAACCATCACACACCAATTTGAAGAAACTTTTTTTGATTTTGTAGTTTTGGGCGACTTTCTCTTTGATAATATTTCTCTCTCTCCTGCTTTCACTTTCACTCAAACATCTCCAAAACAACAACAAATTGTATCATCCATTCATTCGTCTTATCTTTTTGCTTTTTGAATGATGAAAACATGAATGAATGGAAAAATCATTTTCATCTTGGAACTGGAATTTCAACTTTAAGATTAAACAACTTTGTAGTTATGATGGTGGTGGTGGTTTGATTTCATATGGTTATCCAAAAAAGAAAACAAGCCAGACAACAACAACAAGTTCCAGCAACAACGTTTTCTGTTGGAACAGGTTGTAGAACTTTATCAACATTATCATTGGTTTTTTTTGTTGTTGTTGTTGGAAAAGTTGCTGGAAAAAAATGTTTCTGAAAATGTTGATGGACACACCTAGCCCTTTGAATCAATGATAATGATGATGAAAACAATTTTGTTACAAGAAGAAAAAAAATTGATAAGAAAAAAAAACAAGAATGGAACGTTGAATGAATGGTGGTCCTCGTTTTGGGTGATTTGTGTACGCGCGTGTACACGCCGTTTTGTTTTGTTTTGACCTTTTTTTTTTTTTTTTTTTTGATTCAAACTGGACAGATTTTGATTTCTTCAGAGGGAAAATAATGAAAAAGGGGAGACGGATTATCCGTTTATTTATTTTCCGCTGATTCAATCAAGTGTCCGCTGATCATTTTCTCTTTCATTCACTCATCTCGTTTCACATGAAACATTCATTAGCCGGGATTTAAGAAAATTTACCAGGATTACCTTAGCTTAGCAAATTTTCGGATATAGGAAACAGAACAAAAAAAACTATTCATCATTATTGAATGATAAATGTCAGATGATGATGATGATGATCCAATCAGCATCATTTCAGAAAAGATGGATCGATTCGATCAATCAATCAATCGATATCGATTGATTAAACATCACACACATACATCAATCATACACTAAGGTGATTGATTTTGGAAACAAAAACATCCAACATTGACACTTACTTTGCTCATTTTTGGTTGATAATTCTTTCTTTTTTTTCTTGAACAAAAAAAGATGGCACAAATGATTATTCGCGAAAAGATTTACGATGAAAGGAAAAGTCCACAAATTAAATCAGTAAACAGTGAAATTGCATCATACTTTTAATGGTAGAAGAAAGACGAAGACGAAGTAAAAACAAAACAACAAAAACAACAACAACAACAAAACACATTCCCTGGAACGGTAAAACCGAATTTCATGATAATTTTCATCATTTTAAAAGTTTATTACGATGATTATGATGATGAATGATTCGCATTTTTTGAAAAAATTTACCAAAAATGGTAAACATTATGGATGATGATGGAAAAAAATCGAACACTTAAAAAAAACAACAACAGAATCGAACGATATTTATGAATATTCTATTACAGTTGTCGTTCGATTTGTTGATTGTGATCTTGATGAACCAAACAGAGTCAAAATAGAAAAGAATCTTTCTTCATCATCTGTCATCCGCTCACTCAATTCCACCGAAAACAAACAATCAAAACAAAGAATTTTTCTTCAATTCTTTGATCACCAAAAACCAAAAAAACCAATCAACCATCAACAATGACCATCATCATGATCAACACACACACACGTTGGATATCATCAACACCATCACCAATCACCATCCATAACTGGATAATCAAACCAAAAAATGGACTGAATTAAAGTTTTTTCTTGGTTGCCGTTTTGTAAACACTTTTTTTGTTTGTTTCACAAACAAACTATGGATGTTTTGATGATAATGGTATGTATATGTGGAATATTTGTTTATTTGTTTGTTTGTTGTTGATCATCATCATCTTTGATTTTGATGATGATGATGATGATGATGAAGTGAGTGGCCACTATAATTTTGATTGAAGAAACTGATGATGAAGAAAAAAAAACATTCTCTTTTTTTTCGAAAAGAAAATCAGTTTCTTTTTTGGATGTTGTTGTTGTTTATTCTCTTTTTCTGTTGAAGATTTCTGTGCCAAACATTAGCGGCAGCGGCAATAACAGCACAAACAACAACAGGTTCGTTCTCTTTTTCATCATCATCATCCAAATCATCCAAATACGTTCTTACGTGAAAAAAATCCCAGAAAAAAAATCAAAGATGTTTTTTCTTCTTCTTCTTCTGATGATGATGATTATTCACTTGTCTGGTGTCAATTCAATTCATTGCAGAAAAAAATGAAAAAAAAAATTTTGTCAACATGGCTGAATGAAATGTTTGGTTGATGCAACTTTTTTTTTGAATTTCCTGGTAAAATTCTTCACACCACACTTTCTTCACAGAACCAAAAAAAAAAGTTTCAAAATCTTTTCTGGTTTTACTTTGTTTGAGCGGCAGCGGTGGACTGCTATTTTTTGTTTTTTGGAAATTTTAAAATTTCAGTTTTTATTTATTTCTCACTTAAGAACTGAAGAAGAGAACCAGAAAGAGAGAGAGAAAATGAAATAGAAACAAAAAAAAACTTGGCTGGTCGGTTTTTTCGTTGTTGCAATATTCACACAGGGTTGCCCAGGTTTTTTCATTTCTCTTTCTTTTCTGGCTGATGATTTTTGGTTTTTTTCAAATTTCACATTTTGGGTGAATTAAAAGAAAAAACCCAAACTGATGATGATTCACACCAAAAAAGAAAAAGAAACCAAAAACTGTTTGAACAGAATCACAACAAACAAACAAAAAACGGATCACTTGAGTTAAAATAGATTCGAATGTTTTTTGGAATACAGATTCGAATGTTTTTGATCGTGATTTCTGGTCATCGGGTTTTGTGACCAAATCAGAATGACCAACGAAGAAAAAAACATCATCACCATCAAAGATCGATCGAACAAATTGAAGATCTTCATGTAAAGTGTACGTGTATTCTGGTTTTTTTTTTTTTTTTTGGTTCTCGTTTTTTGCAATCTTGTTTTTTATCACTTCTTCTTTTTCTTCTATGGTCCGGTCATACCATACTCTCTAAAAATCTGGTCTGGTTAGTTTTTTTTTTTGTTTTTGGTTGTTTTATGGTTGACAACAACAACAACATGTTGATATAATGTATGACAAGTGTGTTGGCAAGAAAATTCCTTTTTTTTCTTAATATCAACATTCGTCGAAGGACGAAGACGACGATAACGCGAATTATTTGTGTGTGTGTGATAACCCAAACTTTTTATTTTAACCAAACCTGGTTTTCTTCAAAAAAAAAATTTTTTGTTTTTTTACTGGTGTTTCTTCTCTCTCTCTCTTTCTCCCTCACTTTTAAAAATTTTATTTAGCTCCACAGGTAGCTAAGAAAATTATTTTGCTGCTGTTGTTGAAATTGAAAAATCAGGTATGTTCACCAGCAATAGAGAGGGAGAGAGAGAGAAAGAGAGAAGAAAACGGTTTTGATTATTACAGGTATTTTGAATTTATTTTCTGGTTTTTTTTCATCTATTTTTGATTTTCTTCTCTGAAAAGAAGTTGCTGTTGGCGGTGGTACTGATGATTATCGGGCAACCAAAAAAAAGGAAAAAAAGCCTGGTATTTTTCAAACCAAAAGAGGGAGAATGTTTTTTTTTTTTGAAAAAAATCTGACCAAACCTAAAAACCATCATCACTAATTTTACCCAAAAAAAAATATATAACTAGCTTGATCTGGTTGTTATATGACATGCACTGGTGATAGTTTTGGGTACAGGATTGACCAGTTTTGACCAGTGATGGGTGGTCTGTTCGAAGAAATTCGTCAACAAATTTCGATTTCAAAATTTTTTAGAAACCCGAATCAAATGGCTGGACAACAACGAACAACAAGAACGAGATGATGAAGAAGACACACCGAAAAGGAGAAGAAGAAGAAGAAAAACAGAAATTCGCTAACGACTTCCGTATCAAAGATTTCATGTTTTTCTTTGCTTCAAGAAAAAAAAAGGTTGGTAGTGAAACTATAGTGAATCACATGATCCCGATTGTTTAACCCGATGATGATGATCGAATTCTTTATCAATTTTTTTTTTTTGGGTAAAGCTCCGCCTTTTTGCTTTTAAAATTTACTAATTTTTGTTTTTTTTTGTTTTGGTTATAGCTTCATAATGATGACTTGGCGTCATCGTCATCGTCATCGTCATAAATAAATCGGTATCACACACACATGCACAGAGACATGATACTATATAATTTTTGGTCCTATATATTCATACAACAATGGGCGTCTCTATCTATCTATTTTATCATTTGCCTTTTTCATGTATACAGTATCCATCCATCCATCCATCTATCATCATCATCCAATTAGATCCCGAAATTTTTTTTGACCATTTTTTATTTCCTGGCTTTTTTTCATTCATTTATTTCCTGACCCAATAATTGCCAACAAACAAACAAACAGCAACAACAAACTAGTTACTAATGATGATGGCAACAGGTGATGGACATATCAAGGCAGCAGCTATAGTTTCTTCAGCAACATAGTGTTGACCAATTTTTTTTTGAAGAAAAAAAAACTTGACCAACCAAACAGAAACCGGAACTATGTGAATCTTGAATGTTTTCACTTGCAAACACACACACAGAGAGAAAGATAGAGAAGGATAATATTCAAGTCTGGTCAGGAATACAATAGTAAAGTTGTAGTAGCCAGTTCCAAATTGGATCATCATCATCATCATCAATAATGATGATGATAATGATAATGGTGTGGTGTTTTTTTTTTGTTCTCCTTTTCCCCTTTATTTTCATAATCATCAATCCTGACAACAGTTTCAAAATGGATCATCATCATCATTATCAACAACGACGAACGAAAAGATAATTCCATTCCATTAGAAGAAAAAACGCAAACCAATTTTCTCAATTTTATAACTGATGTGAAATGACACAAAGGGAAAAAAAATTCAAAGGTAATGTGAAAGTAAAAGTTTCTCCATCCATTTTTTTCCACCCACTCTTTCCATTTCATTTGGATGTTGTACAGTTGCAATTTTTTTTTTTGAAAAAAAATCATTCATCCATTTCAAGAAAAAATGAGAATCTTTCAACCAGGATTGCTGCTGAATGATGGTTATATGGTTCTCTTTTTTTTCTCTCTCTCTCTCTCTCTCTCTCTAAATTAACATCTTAAATAAGCCAGATTTCTTATTTCTTCTGCCATAAATCTATACCACTATTTTGAGAATCATAGACAGAGATAGAGAACGGCAATCAAATTTGGTCAAAATGATCATCATCATTTATAACCTGTTCATCATTTTGATAAAACCTGGATAAAAAGAAACATCATTTTTCTTTCTCTTTCTCTCTCTCTTTTTTTTGGATTTCGATGATAAAACCACCACTACCAAAATCAAAACAATAAACTTATGTTGCACACGCGTTTCATATATTTGGTTAACCAAGTGATGTGAAAAATGAATGAAAAATACGTGTTCTTTTCGCATCATTTTTTTTGAACATTATTGATTCGTTTTTTTTAGGAAATGGAAATTGAACTATCGGAACTGGTGATGGATACTTTTGTTTTTGTTCGTTGATTAAAATCACATCGAAATTGAAATAGGATGAAAGTCAATAAGTTTGGAGCAAAGAAGAAGGAGAAAAAAAATCGATCAATCCGTATCATGAAAAAAAAAAGTTGTTTTTTTTTCTTCGTGCATCTTTTTTTTTCATTTTTGTTTTTTGGGAAAACTTAAAAACTGGTTTTTTCCTTACACACACTAATCATTTGCTTTCTGGCTTTATTTTTTATTATTATTTCTGGGAATTTTTTTTGTTTTTTTTGATTAACCAATTTTTTTCATTCATTTTTTTCTTCCAAACTGATGAACTGAAGATATTCTTTTCTCGATGGTAGCGAAAAATAAAACCAGCTAACCAGTGTATATTCAATCATCGGCTATTTATTCCGGTGGATAAATTTACTGGGTTTTTTTCTTGGGTCATTTCGATTGAAAGAAAAAACTAAATCTTGTTTTCCATTTATCTTTGATATTATTTATCTGTGGCACCAGTAACGCCATCTAACGTTTTAAAATGACAAGAATATTTATTCAATTTTTTTTTGTTTTGGAAAAAGAAAACAATACAAAATAAAACAAAAACGGAAAAAAAACAAATGAAAAAAAAATAATAATAATAAAAAGAATAGACAGATAACATCAACAACAACAACAACAAAAATTGGGGAAAAAAACAAAAAACAAAAATTTTTGATAATGATACTGCTTTGGTAAAAGATGTTGTCGATGTGTTATTTGCTTGTGTATACAATAATACATAATACATAAAGGGAAAAATTTCCAAACAAAAAAGGAGGTTTTCCTGGTAGAATTTGGTTTTAGAAAATTCTTCTTCTTCTTCTTTTTGATCATCATTAAAAAAACATCGATTAAAATAATAACAACAACAACAACAACAATGACGATGATAATGTTTTAAATATATAATGTATGTGTGTGTGTGTGGGTGGGTGTTGGGGTGGGAAGAGGAAGGAAAAACATAATTAATATTTAAATACATAATAATATCACATTGAGATCAATAATTTAAAAAAAATTGTTCATTGTTTGCTTGTTTGTTTGTTGTTGTTATCGATGTTAATCATCATTTAAAATTGAGTAATCGAATGAAGATGGTTTGAAAGTATTCTGTGAAGTGTTTGTGTCTGTACCTATTTCATATACCTAATATTTGTTTGTTTGTTTATGTAATAACATCCATTACATACAGATATTTATATTGAAAGAAAAAAAGAAAAGAAAAATGGAGAGATAGAGAAACTACAATTTGATTTAGCTAATTTTTTTTCCATAACTAATTTGAATTTTTGAATACATTTTCAATTTAAATGAAAGAAAAAACCAATAATAATAATATTGATACGGATGACAAAAATGTTAAAAATTATTCTGTTGATCATAGATCAATACAAATTATTAAATGATGATGATGATTTGTCAATGTTTGATGATGATATTTTGATTAATATTTTTTTTTTTGATGTTAATGTGCGCCTGCTGTATAGATGTCGAAACATTTATATAAATTAATGATTGGCCTATATAAATTTCTACACAATTTATCATCATTGATCATCCATCATCAATTCACCACGATATGTTCAATGTAATGCAAGGATGTTTGTGAGTAGATGTAAGTGTTTTTTATTCTTATTTATGTTGAGTATTTTTTTTTTGATTTTTTCAAATTTTTTTTTTCGTTGAAATAAATTAAGATTCTCTAATCGATTTGATTGGACGAGGAAGAAGGTGGTGATGAAGATTTTGGTTGTGTAGGTTGTAATGATAATGATGATAATGATGGTGGTTGAGGTTGAGGTTGCGTTATCGGAATCAAAGGAGAAGATATAGGTTGTGATGTTGTCGATGTTGATGATGATATTTGTTCATTATTTGATGATAATGGTAATTTTTGATTTAAATCTTGTTGTTGTTGTTGTTGATTGACATTATGATTTGAACCAATTATTGTTGTTATCGAATTTGTTGTTGTTGTGGTTGTCGTTGATTGTGTATTATTCGAATCAGAAATAGAACATGCGGTCGATGTTGTTGTAGATGTTGTCAAATGATTATTAATCTGGCTACTTGTTGTTGTTGCCATATTATTTGTCATTAATTGATGATTATTTGATGTAATAATTGCTGAACCAATACTTCCATGATGGTGATGATGATGATGATGATAATTTTGTTGTAAATGTTGATGATGAACATGATTTGAACCAGAAATTGATTCATTAATCATAATTGAATTATCCGTTATTTGCTGTTGATTGTTATTATTATTATTATTATTCAATGTCATTGTTGTTGTTGATTGTTGTTGTGTTGATAATGTTATCATTGATCCACTATGTGGTTGTTGTTGTAATCGTTGATTACAACTAATACTATTTTCCGTTGTACCATATATTTTTGTTGCTTTTTTAGCTATATTTTTTAACATTTCTAATGAATCTTTATATGTTGATTTTAATGATTGTAACCATTCTCTTAGGCCAATATCATCCTTGAAAAAATCAAATGAAATTATTATAATTTGAAAATTTGTTTGTTTTAACAAAAATTACCGGATTTGTTAGAACAATTCGTGATTCTTTTTCCTTTTCAGTTTGTTTCATTTTTAATACAATAGATTGTTCACCTTTCACTTGAACATAATCAGAACAAATTGCTTCAATTTGATCCATAAATATTAGCTATTTTCAATAAAAGAAAATGAAAAATTAATTTTCTTTTGAAAAATGAGAAAAAACAGAAAAAAACAAACCTCCGGACGGCTACTATTATTATCCGAATGTAATTCCAAACGATTTGGATATAATTTTGCATATCTTGTTTGCCACGCTGTAGAAAATGGTCCACCTAATTTTTTAATATAACCATGTAATATACAATCAGATTCTTTTTCATTATCATCGAATTTATTTTTCAATTTTGCACGTTTTTTCATTTCAATTTTATCCGTTTCAGCATTTATTGCATCGAATACTGTTTCAGCAATTTCTTGTTGCCAACGATCACTAATAACAACTGGAAAATGTTTATATAATTCTTGATCAGAATCAGTTAATTTTATTCCTTTTGTATCTTCTTCATCAAATGAACCAATATCGAATGCATCAGCTGCATTAACTTCACCACGTGGTGGTATTAATGTTGGTGGATATTTTTGTAAATAAACTAATTGCCAATCAATTCCTTTAAAGAATGGATGTTCTTTTACTTCATCAGCTCTTTAAGAATTCAGAAGAAAAATTAAATTAAACAAAAGAATGTTTTCAAATCGAAAAGGAAATAATAAAATCATTTACCCATTTCCACGACAACCAAGACGTTTATCAACATCACGATGTAATAAACCTTCCAATAGATTACGTAATTCATTTGAAAATGAATTTGGTAATTCAACATTCTAAATAATGAAATGAACGGAAACAAAACAAAATTTTTTTTGATTAAATCAAAATTTTGATCATGACATACATACCATTGTTAGTGTCATACGATCAATTTCATGTTTATCTTTAGTTTTATGTTGCCTAAATGGACTATGGCTATATAAATAAATAAATAGACCATAAAGTCATTGAAATAATCATTGAAAAAAATATATTACCCTTTTAAAAGTTTATAAAGCATACAGCCAAGTGAAAACCAATCAGCACTTGAATCATAGGCAGTACCTTTGGATAATACTTCGGGTGCCATGTAACCGTGTGTACCACTATTTGGTTTTTCAAGAAAGAAAGAAAGAAAGAAATAATGATTTATGATTGATTACGATTTGATTTGATTTGATTTACATACACGGATGCATGAGGCTTTTTTTTGGAAAAATCACAAGCTAAACCGAGATCAGATATACGAACATGACCATGTTCATCCAACAATATATTAGCTGGCTATAATGATGACAAACAAAACAAAAATGATAAAATTTTCTATTTAAAAAAAATTCTTACCTTTAAATCACGATAAACAACAAAACGACGATGCATATGTTCAAGACCTAATATCACTTCGGATGCATAGAAACGCATTTCTTGTTCATTAAAAACACCATGTTGTGATAAATGATAATGTAGATCACCACCATTCATTAGATCCAATATAAAACATAATTTATCTGGTGTTTGAAATGCATATGTCATGCATACAATAAATGGACAATCTTCCTATAAATATTATATTCAAAAAATGAATCAAAATTTAATTCAATTAAAAACAAAACAACAACAAAACAAAACAAAACATACCCCCGTACTGACTAGTGATAACATAACTCTTTCATTTAATGCTAATGTTTCACCTTGTTTCATTTTGATACGTTTTTTATCTAAACATTTCATTGCATACATTTTACCAGTATCAGCTTTACGACAACCATATACTTCACCAAAACCACCACGACCAATAATACGATGTACACTAAAATCATTCATTGTTAATTGTATATTTAATTCTAAATTTTTCCATTGACAAAATCTTGTATATTTTTCACTATTTTGTTTGTCGAAAAAAAACACAGAAAACAAAATTATTAATTAGTAACAAAACAAAACCAAACGAGGGAAAAAGAAAAATCATTTAGAGACAAACAAACCTTTCAATATATTTACGAAATATATCACCACGTAAATGATTATAAATTTCATCAATATATGGTTGAAATAATTGTACAGGTACTTCATTACGCATTAAATATTTTTGTACATGATTTACCGATTCTTTGGAATAATTCTAAATTTTCAATTGTTTTTTGTTTGTTGTTGTTGGAAATGTCAATTGCATTTCAAAATGGAAAAGGAATCAAATGTCAATGATTATTATTATTAATAAAAATCAAATTAATAAAACATACATGTGTATGGGACAACAATTCTTTCATAATAAAATTATCATAAATTTCTCTTGCTGCTTGTCGTCTTTCTTCGATTGTTTCCAATTTTTCATAACGTTTTATCTTTATTATTAAAAGGAGATTGAATTAGGAAAATACTATTCAATCAATAATCAATCAATCAATCATATACCTCTTCATAAAATTTCAATTGTGGCACCGATTCATCACAAATGTTTTCACAAAAATCTCGAAATGTTAAAAATCCTTTTTAAAATGTTGAAAGAAAAGATTGATAAAAAATTTACCTTTTGCAAACGAAAAAACAACATACCGAGTCTTTGTTGAAATATTTTATCAAATGTAACTTCACCAATTTTTTCCAAATATTTATGCATTACACTTCGTACACTGTGATAAAAGAAGAAAAAAGGAATCAAAATCAAGAATCAAAAAATCATTCGAAAAATTATTTACCTTGGATCGGGTAAGATAATTTTTTTTGAAGCTCTTGCTGCAGGTGTTGATTTAGATTTTTCCATAGCCATTAGATAGCTAACATCGGCTAATACTGCTTCAAGATCGGCCATGTTTTTTTTTTGATTTGATTTTTTTTGTTTACCACAAAACTATGGAGAAAAAAGTGATTCACCGGGAATACGACCAACAAACCGACAATGAATGAAAAAAAAATTCTTTGAAAATTTCAAAAACAACAACAAAAAACCGTTTTTTATATAAACAATGATGATGCGGATTGTTTGTGAAGACAAAAAATTGATTTTTATCAATCAATCAATCAATCAATTTGATTGATTGATTAATGACTTTTCACACACACACACACAGACAAATTATACAATTATTTTTCGTTTGATCATCATCATCATTATTATTGAATTATAATGGTGGAATCATTTCAGCAAACAGAAACCAACAAAAAAAATCTAAATTAAGAACACAAAAACAGAAGAAGAAAAAAACATTTTCATTAGAGAATTGAAAAAAATACAACAAAAAACAAAAAACAAATTAATTGGATAAAACAAAACAAAAGTTTTCGGGTTCTTTCAACGAGGAAAACATCATTAAAAATTGAAATTTGCTGTAGAAGAAAAAAAAAGTTGAAAAACTTTTGTCTGTTTTGCATAACAACAACAACAGCGGATCAAAAAACGATTGTTTTGGCTTTGAAAAAACATTAACAAACAAAAAAACCAAACAGAATAAATTCAAATTACCATCATTGAACAAATCATCAAAATGATCTACACCTTTCTTTTTTTTCGGCCATTGAATATTGAGTGCATGCATGTTTGGATGTCCAAAAACAAAAACATCCATTTGATTGAATAGAAATTTAAATTTTGGACAACAACAAAAATGTCTACAATGGGAAAGAATATTCTTTGAAAACAATTCTTGAATTCATATTTAATCTGGCCAAAAAAAAAGAAATTTGAATAGAAAATCTTTAGAAATTCTATTCAAATTGACAGAATAAAAATGAATGAAATTGAAAAATGTTGCTGCTGTTGTTCTTATCATTATTATCATTATTGTAATTGTCTCTCTCCCTCCCATCCCCCTTCTCTTCCTCCCCTCCCCTTCAACAAACAAAAAGTGTCAAGTATCTTTATGTAAATGAATAATCAGAATACAAAAAAAAATTTGTTCCAAATAAAAAAACCCAAATGTACTCATATTGAACATCTTTTTATCATTCTTTTATATAGAGAGAAAGATTGTGAAAAAGAGAAAGAAAGATTGAAAATGTTATATATAGAGAGAGAGACAAAGAGAAAAACCAGAACTAAAACCATATATAAATGCCCAATGTATATACTGTTCTTTGTTCACACTGTTCCAGGATCCAAAATCAGTTTCATGTACTAGTTATTATTGGTAAAAAAACAAATTCAAGAAATTTAAGAGGGAAAATGTGAGGGGAAACAAATAAACAAACAAAAAGTTATTGACAAAAAGCAAATTCATTTTCAATTTTCCTTTTTTTGAAAAATTGTTTGAAAAAAAAAATTATTAGATTTTCAAATTTTAAACAAACTTTATTTTTTCAAATTTTGCAAATGTAAATCACATTTACATTTTGATGATGATCATTTTGAATTTTGAATTATTCAATCAAATTTTAATCATCATATTTTCTTGCTGCCGAAGAAATTTTCCAAATCTTATTATTATTATTATATAGGAATATGATCGGAAAAACTTTCTGCACTCTCTCTTATTGACATTAACTTTTTTTTTCTTATTTTTTATCAACTAAACAAACAACCCAAAAATGAATGAAAATGAAAAAAAAACCGTAGAAAATCTTATTATTTACATGCATATATTTTAACAAACAAACAAACAAGCAAAAAAATAAATAAACAATTCCGGTATCAACGGAATATCAATTCCGATTCCGATTTTCTTTATTTCTTTCTTCTTCTGATAAACCTATCGGGTGGCCAAAATAGAAAAATCATGGCTGTTTTTCAGGTTTTTCCATTGATTGGAAAGAAACCCAGAAACAAAAAAATTCCATTCAATTGTAGAGAAACACTAAATAATCATTATCATTACAAACATGAATGAATTTACTTATAATATATTCGCAACAACAACAACAACAAAAAATCGGATATTCAGGGAATTATATAGAGAAAAAAGAAAAGAAAAGAAAAACAAAAATGTTTTTCTGTTTTTTTTTTCATTTGGTTATCGATAAAATAACAATAACCAAAAAAAACATGAATAAGGAAAAAGATTTCAAGTAAAAAAAACGTTCCATTTTTCTTTTGGAACCAAAAAACGAAAGAAAGAATTCAGGTTTATCAAGTGAGAATATGATGATGATGTAGTTTAGTTGAAGTTTAGTTTTGTAGATTCTATATACACATCCAAACCGACTAACCAAACTAAACACTAAACTAAACACAGTGAGAAATATACTCGACACCCAAAAAAAGTATCTATATTTCAACTACACGTATATAATACACTAAATGTTAGAAATGGAGAAATATGAGCCACATTTGAAACAAAACAAACAACAAGCAACAACAAATTGGGAATATATTTGATCCATTCAATTTATTATTATTATTTTTGTTTTCTGGTTTATTTTTGGATCAACCAAGAAATTTGAATATATAAAAAAAACAGTTACCATTTGGACAGATATTCATATTTTTTTTTCTTCATTGATTGTCAAGTGAAATGGGCAAATATTTTTTCAAATGTGTTACATTCAAGAAACATTCATTCATTTATTATGTAACAAAGTGTGTGTGTGTGTGTGTGGGTGGATGGACGGATGTATGGTAGTTTTCTTTTTCTTCATTTTTTTCATTCAAATAAATAAAAAATTCAATAACTTTATCGAAGAAGAAGAAAAGGAAAAATTGATTTTTCAAAATTCAAAATTCAAAAAAACATAAATTTTAAAATTTTCTATTTCGACTCTATCGACCGAATATAAGAAAAAAACAGCAGACAGAATTTCGAGTTAACAAAAAAAAAAATCGAATGTTTATCCAATTTCATTCAATTCTTGATTTTTTTTTGTTTTGTAAAAAGAAAAATTTTAAAGATTTTTTTCTCATTCTTCTTCTTTATTTAAAAATCAAATTGATTCAGATGTTTAAATTTTATTTATTTTAGCGAGATAAAACAAACATACAGAACACACACATCACTGAATTCAAACTTTGCTTGAAAAAAAAATCCAATAAACAACAACTAATAAATCCTTTTTTTTCACTATTCTGATTGATTCAAGAATAAATCAATTTTTCAATCAAATCAAAATAATGATGATAAAAGAATAGAATCGAAATGGTTTTCCAAATTAACACAAACACACACACACACACCAAAAAAAACATTGATTATTTGTATTTGTATTGATTGATTGAATAAAATCAATACATTCAATGTATATTTTAATAAGTAAACGGGTGCTAGTGTGTAGGTGTTAATGTTGATATTTTTTTTTGTTTTAATTCTATTATTATTATTATTGGAATTTAATGAGGAAATTTTTTTTCTATTGATCGGAAATTGATTATAAACAAACAAACAAAGATTTATTATTGATAACAAATAAACAAAAGAATGTTCAATAAGATGACAATTGAAACAAAAATTGAACACAATTTCGATAATGATGATTAGGCGAAATCATTATTCTCAAGAATATCAACAACAAAAAAAACTGTATAAGAAAGAAAAACTTCCGGAATATTTAGGGGAAAAGAGAGAGAGAGAGAGAGAGAGAGAGAGAGAGAGAAAATAAACTTCCGAAAAATTTCGTATTGTACAATTTCTCTTCTTTTCATTATCATTATTATCAAATACAAATTATTTATTTTAATTCCGTAATAAACAAATAATAAAAAAACAAATATTGAATTTGATATTTGTAAAAAATTTTTCCTTCAAGGTTGATGGATCGATCAATCCGATAAATTGTTGTTGTTAGTAAAACAACAACAACAACACGCCAGATAAACAAATAAATACTTACCGGAAAAAAAAGAATAAAGAAGATTACCGAAATGAATTTATTTATTTTTGGTTTTTTTCTCTACATTTTATCAGCAATTAAATCAGGAAAAAACACACAAATCACACATACAAACACATAGAACATCGATGAACGAAAGGATTCAAATAGCGAAAGAGAGAAGAGATAGAAAATCGTTTAGGAATTTGCAAATTCGATAATGATGAAACACTTCAAAAAACTGGACACTTGCCATTCGGACTGTGTGTGTGTGTTTTTGGTGTCTAGATTCTGTTGAATTTCACAAAGATTAACGATTCGTTAGTGATGAATGGTTAATTATAATACTTTTTTTCGGTTTGGTTTGGTTTGAAGAAGGGAATTTCAAAAGAATTTTCCCAAAAAAAGTTGATTTTAATAAATTTTTTTTCAGATAGAAGATGATGATGATGATGGAAGGATCAATTCGAATGTTTGAACAACGTTGGATTGCATGATTATTTCACAAATCAACAACAACAAAATGAAAAATCATTACCATTTTACACATAATGATGATATACGATGTAAATTATTTTTTTTTTGTAAATTTTTTTAATGATGAAACAAAATTAAGCAAAAAGAAAAAAAAACAATCTTTGCTCATCATCATCATCAATACGAAAAAAAACTATATAGAATGAGCGGTTTTTTCTCATCATCATCCTGATGATGATGATGATAGTTTTCAACTTTTCATTTTCATTTTCATCGTTGATTTGGATTTGTTTTTTTAAAGGTTTTTGTTGTTGTTGTTGTTATTGGATAATCAAAGGAACAAAACAAAAAAATTGGAATCACAAACAAAAACAAACAAAAAACAGATTTTGTTAAAATGAAAATTATTGAGTGATGATGATGATGATGATGCAAAGGATAATGATAATAATGTTGGATATTCGAATATTCGATGTTATTGTCAGTGGTAGTGGCGGTGGTTGTGGATGTACCACAAAACATTTGTCTTCTTATTTACAAACTACTAGCATTCGAATATTATCTTTTTTAAACCAATGGGTGTATGGGAGGATGGATGGATGGATGGATGGATTTATATAGAATTCTTATATAAGAAAAAAAAAATTGATGCTACTACTACTACCTGCTACTACTGCTACTTTTACTTTTACTGCTATCATTTTTTTTTTGATATACCGTTACCCAACGTTAAGCAAAAAGAAAGAATTCTATTTGGAGCGATTCTGGAAATTCTGTTTTTTGATTCTGATCAAATTGGATTCATTCATCATTCGATTATATATAGAATACTAATTTTTCTCTTACTCCCTCCTTTAATTTCTTTTCCACTATCTCTCTCTTTTGGATTCCGGTTCAATTTATGATTTTGGAACATACACTCACAACACCTGTACTGTTGACATTTTTTTTGGGTTCGGAAACTGCAACACCCTTTTTTTTTCTTATGGTAAGGTCGTTGTTCTTCTCTGTTGTATACATTATATGATGATAAAAGTAAATGGAAAAATCTTATTTAAAAAACAGAAAAAAAACATCCAAAAAAAATCCATAACACCCACACATACATATGATGAGAAAGGAGTAGGAAGAGGAGTAGCCAAAACAATCGATAAGTATCGATTGTTTTTTTGATTCGATACTTATCGATTGTTGTTGTTGCTCTGTTCCCATTATCATATTTGTTGTTGTTTTAATTTTCTTCAAATTTTTTCTTTTACAAAAATAAACTTTTATAAAATTTAAATAAAGAAAAAAAATCCTAAAAGACACCCACACAAAGACATTCATGTTCTTCATCTCCTCCGGCTTACTTCCGTCGAATCATCATTAATGTAGCTCGAACGAAAAAACAAAAACAAAAAACATTGACATTCAAATCAAAGAAAGAAGAAGTTTTTTTGTTTTCAAAAAAATTTATTTCGCAATATTTATAAAGTTATTTTTGTAGTTCAAAATGTGCGATGCGAACATTAAAAAAAAAAAAAATAGTAAACGTGATGACCATCATGTGTGTGTGTGTGGATTGACCATCAAAATGATGATGATTACGTCATCATTTTCGTCATCAAAGATTAAAAAAATTAGAAACAAAAAAAAATTCTGAATGAAAACAGAAATTTTAATGGAAATTTTTTCTTCTTTCTTTTCATTCTGTCAAACAACAACAACAACAATCTTAACTTTTTTTTCTGAAAAAAAATACAAAATTCTCAAGGTGTTTTTGTTTGTTGTTTGCTGATCCTACCACTAATCGATAAACGAACGAATCTCTTTTGTAAAAAAAACTAACTAACGAAAGATGTTAATTGAATGAATGACGTCAAATCATCAGAAATGAAATGAAAATAATATTGTTGTTATTGTCAATCGCGATTTGGCTTTTCAAAAAAATGTTTACATTTTCTTCTTCTTCTTCTTCATTTCTTCTGTACTTTTTGATTGATTCAAGTGATGAAAATTGTCATGTTATTTTATTCATCATCATCACCATCTTCGGATAATAAAAATTCATAATTCCAGAATAAATAAATAATAAATAAATTCAGAGAAGAAAATTATCAAGGAAAAAAAATTCATTTTGAAAAACTAAATTTAGAACCAGTATCGCCATCTATGTTCATTCGTTGAGATTTTTAAAAAAAATGAATGAGGCGTGTGTTCTGCATTCTGTTCAATTTGCAGACAGACAGACAGGACAGGACAGCACTCACCGCTCTAATTTTAATGCTGCTGCTGATTTTTTTTTCGGCTGCTGCTACTACCACTACTACAATTACTAATGCTGCTACTTTTGTATATACAATGTTTATTGAATCGAATCGAATCGGTCGGTTGTTATTATTATTTTGTTTTGATGAATTTCTTGTCGAAAAGAATCTTTCTTTTTCTTCTTTATTTTTTAAAAAATCGATTGATCAATCAATTAATTCGAATCATATCGATCAATGAAGATGATTAATTGATTTTTGTAAATCCTTTCATTTGTGTGTGTTTGTTCGATCTTAACCCGGAAAACAAAACAAAAAGGTGATTTTGTTTGTTTGTTTTGTTTTGTTTGTTGTTTCATCATCACATCAATCATCATTCGTCATTGTTTATATTTCATTCATCATCATCATCATAATCTTATTTCATCGTGAAATAAACATTTTCAAGATAAAAGATTTAATTTTCAACAAAAACAAACGAAACACCAACGTAACATACATCATTGTGTGTGTGTGGGTGTCACCGTTTGTGGTCAAATTCATTCGAACATCTTTTTTTTCGAACGAATTTTGAGTTCGAAATTTTCATTTTTTTTAAAGAAGAAACATTCCAATTCCATTTGAATGTGATCAACAAACAAACAAACGAAAAATTTTTTAGTTTTTAACAAATTTTTTTTTATTTATATTTGATTGAATAATGGGAAAATTTTTATCAAAAATTTTCGGCTCAAAAGAGATACGAATATTAATGTTAGGTTTGGATGCATCGGGTAAAACAAGTAAGTGATTGAATTGATTGATTGATTCGGTTTGATTTGATTTGATTGGATTTGCTTTTACCTTTAGCTATATTATATAAATTAAAATCTGGTCAAACTGTAACAACAATACCTACAGTTGGTTTTAATGTTGAAACGGTTACATATAAAAATGTTCGTTTTAGTGTTTGGGTATGTGTTTTCTGATTTCTTAAACTATAAACTTGATTTAACTATGTTTTTTCCCTTTTAAAAAAGGATGTTGGTGGCCAAGATAAAATACGACCATTATGGAGACATTATTATACCGGTACACAAGGATTAATATTTGTTGTTGATTCAACCGATAGAGATCGTATTGATGAAGCAAGACATGAATTACATAAAATTGTTAATGATCGTGAAATGCGTGATGTTATTATATTGGTTTTTGCCAATAAACAAGATATTAAAGATGGTAAAATACTAATTGATAATCTTGAAAAAATCAAGCCTTTTTTGATTCTTATTTTCTCTTCATTTTTTTTCTAGCTATGAAACCGGCTGAAATACAGGATAAACTTGGATTAACAATGACAAAACAAAGAAATTGGTTTGTACAGCCAGCATGTGCATTAACCGGTGATGGTTTACATGATGGTCTTACGTGGCTTATGTCTAATCATAAATAGAAAATCGAAGAGAATAGGAAATCAACAAACTACGACAACAGTAAATCTTTTTAAAAGAAAAAAAAACACTATTTCTGAACAAAATGTCCATATCGATATATCTCATCAGTAATTTGTTCAAAAACAAGAAGATGCTTATCTTAATTTCATTGATCCAATCATCCACGCACACACATCAACCAACCATTCATCATTGTTATATTGATTGATTTATTTATAATCATTTTTTAAGTGAAAATTCTGATCAAAAAAAAAAAAATTTTATTTTATATATAGAAAATCATCATACATGAATAAAATGAAATGAAACAAAGTTTTTTTTTTGTATTTTGTAATTTGTAATTAATTGAATTAATAAAGTTAAAGAAAAAGAAACAGTATTTTGTTTCGATTAATTTGATAATTAGTTTTTTTTTGATTTAAAATCGATTCGAATTGATTGATTTTTTGTTTTTTTGAAAAAGTTTTTAGTTTTCTTTTTTTTGGGGAAAAAACGGCCAAATTAAACCAGAAAAAAGTATCAAAAGTACCAGTGAAAAAAGTATCAAAAATATCATTGAGAAAAGTAGCGAAAGTATCATTGAGAGAAGTATCAAAAATATCACTGAAAAAAATGGAAAAACGTGAATTATATCAACGACAATCATCCGAATCATCATCATCATCATCGAAAATAACAGCAGCAGCAGCAAGAAAAATGAATAATAATAAACGTCAACCATCAAATTTTGATACAATTTTTAAATCGATAATCGATTCAAATGAACGAGGTGAACAACAACAACAATCATTACAAAAATCATCATCAAAATTACAACAAAATCTTTCATGGTTAAAACGATTACCGAATTATATTGAATCAAAAGATTCGAAATTATCGAAAGAAAAATCACAATCAAAAACATTAATGAAACATTTGAAACAACCGCAACAACAACCAAGTAATCAATCAATTTCATATGAAATACGTATAAATCGAAAAAAAGTAACACCATTTCCAACAACAACAACAACAACTGTTGTAAAAAATAGCCGTTCACCAATGGATCGTACTGAAACGTTAACAACTTTGAATAACAACGCTAACAACAACAGAGATGCTAATCGTATACCGAGAATGTGTGATCGATTCGAAAGAGTGATTGGTAAAAATCGACAAAAATTTCAACAAAATATTCAATGTTGGACTACGGATTATCATCGTATTAATTATGATGAAATTGAACAATTATTAGATAATTATCGTAAAATTTCGGAAAAAATTAATCAATTAAAACATTGTAATCGTAATGTTGATGCTATTTCGGCTATTTGAAAAGTGGAAAAGTAAATCATTTTTTTAACCCCCGAATCGTAACATTATATATTTTGTAATTTTTATTTTAAAAATTTTTATTTTAAAAAAAATAAATATTTATCAAATGTGAATTTGTAAAAAAACAGCAAAACAAAATCCGATGATGATGATGAATGTTTTTATATTACACATCAATGGAATTCATGAGAAAAAATTGTGTGAATGTGATAAATAAAGGGTTTTTTCTATGAAACATTTTTTGTTGTTGTTGTTTGTTGGTAGTCGAAATCAAATAAAAATCACAGGTAAAAAAATAATTGCCCAAAACAGAAAAAAAAATTACATGCAATTTTGTTTACAAAATTGAATGGAAATGGAAAATTGATGATAAGGGGTGATGCATAAATATATTTCATGAGAAAATGAATTATGTTTTCGTGTTTGTGTGAAACCGACTAGCAAAATGTGTGTGTGTGTCTGTGTTGGATGAGTTTATATTATAACAAAAAAAATTGATGATGACTTAGTTTAGGAACTAATCAAGAAAATGAATAACAAAATGAAAAAAAATGATTATTATACAATGATGATGATGATGATGATGATGATATCAAACGTAGATGATGATAATAAAGATGTTTTGTTTGCTTTTTATTTCAAAAAAAAAGTATTACTTCCATCCAACAAGGACAATCGGTTATATCGTTTAATTTATATTTATCACCAAAACCTTTAACAAAACTAAAACGAAAACTATCATCATCTTTTCTTGTCGAAAATGATGATGATGATGATGATCGATAATGATGTGATAATTGATAATCATATGCTTTAAAAAAATGGCCAGGTAATATTTTTACCACATTTTTGATTGTTGATGTCGTCTTCGTCGATGATGATGATGATGATGATTTGCAATATAATGGTGATTCAATAAATATTGACGATAATTTTGAACGATTATATAACCAAACATTTTGTTGTTGATCCAAAAATAATATAACATTGGTACCAATTTTCATTCGAATCTGATGATTGATTTGTTGTTGTTGTTGTCGTAATAATGATGATATTGGTATAAATTCTATCGATTCATCATTATCATCGATATTTTCCGGATGACAAATACCGATTGTTGAATTTCTTACATTAATATCGGTTATTTTACGTTGTTTATATTCCCAATACGAAAGACGTGCCCATTTTTTTGTACGTTTTTGTTGTTGTTGTTTGTTTAATGAATCTAATTCGACAAAAAAAACAAATAAAAAAAACCAATTAATTAATCAATTCAAACAAATTTAAAAGAAAAAAAATAATCAAACCTGGTGTCATTATCAATGATGATCGAAATGATCGAAATAATTTATCAATAATAATCATTTTACAATTGATTTTACATTTACAAAGAATCTATCCTGAATTATGAAACAGATAAATGAAGTGTTCTGCACTGGACAACAATATGATGACAAATGAATTTTTTTTACATTCAAAGATTTGATTGTCGTCATCCACACATTTTACAACAAAATAACAAACACACAATATACAATTGACATCCAACCAACCAACCACATAATCATTCAACCGATCAACAAATCAAAACCAACTACAATTTAATATTATCGACATTGAAACAAGCCATCAACAAAACATATGGCATGGCGCGACTATTGACATTCAATTTACTATCAACACCAACACACACACACACACACCTGGCGTCTGGACAAAAATAAGAAAAAAAATTGGCCGCGCACGTCATGGGCCAAAGACCTTAACCATAATCATAATAATAATAATAACGATGATGATAATAACCATCATCATCATCATCATTCGAATCGATCGATTGATGATGATGATGATAATAATGATAACAACATTTTAAATTCAAAAGTCTGGTCTATAAGTATTAAGTTTTATCAACTGGCGCCAACCAACAATCATATAATAATAACAATAACAATGAATTTGAAAAAAAATCACCCACGCAAACCTTATATGCAACAATATACGCCCATTATCTTTTTTTTTTTTTTGTTTAAAAAAATCACGATGTTATCATCATCCAAACATCGATTGTTCAAAAATTCAATTTCTTCAACCAAAATTATTCATCATCAGAATGGATGATGATTTATAATGTTTATATGTGGATAAAAATTTGTATAACTAACTATATGTAATCGTTATCTTTTGGTTTTGGGGTTTGTTTGTTATCCGACACGAATTTTAACAGACAGACAACTAATAGAACAGAAGTTATTGACGATCCTAAAATGAAAATTATCATCATTATATTATCATCATTTCGGCATCTTTATTTTTCAAAATGAATATAATTTTACCATTATTTAAGCGGCTAGCTTTTCTTTTACTATAGACACATTGACTGAATCAAAAACGAAACAAAATAAGAAAGAAAAAAGATAATGATAAGGCTTTTTTTTGAAAATTTAAAGGTGGTGGTTGATTGGCTGAAAGATAATTTCAACGATAATAGACAACGATGACGACGACGACGACGATCACGATCGTCTTCGTATATTTTCCACTATTATCATCATCATAGTTTGTCGTCGTCGTCGTCGTCGTCCGCTCATGATAATAAGATGATAATTTTTTTTTGATGTAGACTTTTGTTGTCCGACACCGTCTCTCTCTCTCTCTCTCTCTCTTATTCTCTATATCGATAGGATGACCATTCATTCAAATTTGACCCCTCTCTCCTTCTCTAAAAAAAAGTTTCAACAAAAAAAAAGAATGGTTCGATAGACAATACAAATAAGTCAATCCGATATGTATATACAACATAACAATAGATCATTAAGGGTCAAATGTTTGGAACCATTCAAGTGAGATGAATGGAAATTTTGTTGTTGTTGTTGTTGTTGTGGTCAATACAAATCGAAAATCACGACCACGTCGACGACAACAATCTGAACAGAATGAAGAAAGAAACCCTAAGGGTTTTTTTTGGTACGAACTATTTTGTTTAGTTCGTTGTCTGTTTTAGTTTGAATTGAATCGATTTCGATTTCAAGTAGTCATTTTTTTTTTGGTCATCGATATATGATTTTAATCTTTTTTCTTTACTTTTGAACAACGAAACATTTGAAATAAAGAAATTCTTTTTTCGCTTTGAAGTTTTAAAAAAGTTTCAAAATCAATGTTGGAAAAAAAGGGTTTTTTTTCTCTTGGAACTTGGATTACTTACCACAACAATTCGATGACGATGATGGCATCGTTATTGTTTCACAATTACCAAATAAATCTTTACTTTCATTATGATCATCATTATTATTAACATTAATATCATCATCATTCCAATCATTATAATATTGTTGATGATAATCTGTTTTTTTAAAATGTGGAAAAAAACTGGTCAATAAACAAAAAAAAAAACAGAAATCTAAATCCAAAAATAATAATAATACCTGATTCGGCTATCAACACAGCCCAATGATTTGGATTCATACACAATAATGATGATGTTGAATTTGAATGATGATTATGATGAGAATTATAAATATTTTCATTATTATTATTATTATTATTATACAATCGACACCATGGTAATGGTCGTATTAATTGATTATCAATATCGATTAATTTTACATTACGAATATTTTCAATTAACCAATATAGAATTTTTAACTGTAATGATGATGATGAATTATTATTTGTTGTTGTTGTTGTTGTTTCCATTTTAATACAATATCCAATATAATGTTCATTATCCAAAATTCGTAATAATAATTCAATATCTTTTCGATGTAAATATTGTCGAAAATATTGACGTATATCGTGTATCGATAATTCTGATTTTTGATTATTATGATGATGGTCATTATCATCATCATTGTTGTTGTTGTTGTCGTCGATATAACCATCACCCATACAGATTTTGCTAAACCAATTAAGCCAATTTTGTTTTGATTTTTGTTGTTGTTGCTGTTGACAAATGTCATTTGCATTTTGTCTTCGTTGTTGTTGATCATGTTGAATGGAAGTAATCTTTTTTAGCAAACGATTTATAAGCGTAAATTTCTTATTTGGTAGCATTTAGATATTTCATTTAAAAAAAAGAGATTGAATTTGATTTTTCAATTTAAATTTGTTTTATGGTTCATATTGTTTTGTTTTTTGACAATTTCATCGTTGTCATTGTTGTTGCTCATTTTTTTTTCTTCTTCTTCTTCTCTTCCGTATTTTCTTTTCTCCAGCTCACAAAAATCTCATCGAATTGAATATGTACATCGATGATAAATAGTTGTTGTTGTTGCTGTTGATGATGATGATCGTGGATCCAAATGTACACCATACCATTTGTTCATTTTTAACATCATTTTTTTAATCATCATCATTATTATGATATTTATTTTATCAATTATAATACTGATGCCAATACCATTACCATTATCAACACAGCAGCTACCGTAATCATAATAACAGTAATGAATGATGATGATAATGTTGATCGACATTAAAAACAATTGGACAAAAAAAAAGATAAAGTAAGAAAGTGAAAAAAATATGTAGATAGATAGCTTTAGCTAATACCAAAAAACCACCAACAACATAATACACACTATCAATGTGTTTTTGGTACCGGAAAGTTTTGAAATGTTTGAAAATTGTCTTTTTACACACATACGAACATCACACACATCACAAAAAACAAACAAACAAAAGATGTTAATTAATTTGTATCATTTTTTTTCGAAATTAGATTTTGGATTTTACATTGGAAAACATTTCACATTCAAAAAAAAACTCAAAAACACAAGAACACATAATTGATTTGGATGGAGACACGCTGCATTCATTAAAAAAATTATCATCATCAAATATTATCTTATGGCCAAAAAAAAGATGATATAACCAGGACAACAACATACCGATTATAAGAAACACAAACACACACAAAAATCTCAGTCCGTAAAAAAAAACCTGCAGGTGTGTGCATGAGAAAAAAAAACATTCGAATTATCCACAAAAGTGGAAGTGGTATTTGCTGATAAAAGAATGGTGAGGGGTGTGGATTTTCTCCCTCCTCTACTATAGTGGTTGATGGTTCCACAAAGTATAATGATCAACTAGTGGTTGGTTTGGTTCTATTGGTTCTGTTGGCGAAAAGCAGAAAAAAAACAGACTATTTGAGGGGGTAGTGGTGATCTGCGGTACTTTTTTTGGAATAATTTTGTTGTTGTTGGCGAATTTTTGATTGAAGAAAAAAAAAATTTGGTCTGGAAATTGTTTTCGAAGAAAAAAAAACAAACCAAAAAACAACACAGACGACGATAATGATTTTGTCTTTTGGNNATTATCAACACAGCAGCTACCGTAATCATAATAACAGTAATGAATGATGATAATAATGTTGATCGACATTAAAAACAATTGGAGAAAAAAAAAGATAAAATAAGAAAGTGAAAAAAATATGTAGATAGATAGCTTTAGCTAATACCAAAGACTAACAACATAATAATACACACTATGTTTTTTGTACCGGAAAGTTTTTTTTTTGTTTTGAAATGTTTGAAAATTGTCTTTACACACGAACATCACACACATCACAAAACAAACAAACAAAAATTAATTTGTAAAATCATTTTTTTTTCGAAATTAGATTTGGATTTTACATTGGAATCATTTTACATTCAAAAACACAAACACAAAACCCAAACACAAAATTGATTTGGAGGAGACACGCTGCATTCATTAAAAAAATTATCATCATTATTATCTTATGGCAAAAAATAGGTGATATAACCAGGACAACATACCGATTATAAGAAACACACACACAAAAAAATCTCAGTCCGTAAAAAAAAAACCTGTGTGAGAAAAAAAAACATTCGAATTATCCACAAAAGTGGAAGTGGTATTTTACTGATAAAAGAATGGTGAGGGGTGTGGATTTTCTCCCTCTTGTTGATGGTTGATGGTTGACACAAAGTAATGATCAACTAGTGGTTGTTTGGATCCTGACCAAAAAAAAAAAATCCTAGTGGTTCTATTTTCTGTTGGCGGACATGAGAAAAAAAACAGACTATTGAGGGGGTAGTGGTGATCTGCGGCACTTTTTTGGAATAATTTTGTTGTTGGCGAACTTTTGAATTGAAGAAAAAAAATTTGGTCTGGAAATTGTTTTCGAAAAAAAAACAAACCAAAAACAACACAGACGACGATGATTGTCTTTGGGTTATTTTTTGAGACGAACAAACTAACAAAAAAAAAAAAAAAAAAAACCCAAATGAAAATATAATTTTACCCCATTCCCCTACCAAAAAAAAAAAAAAAAAAAAAAAAAAAAAAAAAAAAAATCCACATGGAAATATCAATTGTCGCCGATCCCCTACCGATTGTTGGTTTTATTGGCCCCTCAAGAATCTTTTTGTCGTTGATGATGATGATCGTCGTTGTCGTCAGACAAGACAGGTGACATTGTCATATGTCGTGTGTCTCTTATTTGTTGTCAATTTGTTCGTAGACAATATTTCACCAAACACACACACAGACGATTAAAAATTCCCAATAGGGAAAAGCCATGTAATAAGTTTCAATTTCAATATATGACAAAACACAGAACAGAACAGACCAAAAGAAATGATATCATATCATATTTATCTTCTTGATCCTAAATTACTTTGTGGAGTAAATATTTTTCCCTGGTTTAAGCACATCATCCACTTATTATCAATGATGATGATTATGATTGTAAATCGGTTAAAACAAAAAAAGAAATTATCGTTAATTAAATTTTGTTTGATTAAATGGAAAAACAAAAGAAAAATGAAAAGAAAAGATTGCAACCAACATAACATTCGAAATGAGAAACAAACAAAAAACGGAAGGCCGGCCAACCCATTGTTTTGTTATTGGTTGACTATTTCCACGTTCAATGTTCGGTTTGTATCGAAATGGCCATTCGGTATATTCGAATGTTTTTTTTTTCTTCTGACTTTTTGATTATCGTTATCAACGATAATGGCTAAATTGGATTAAAAGATATATCATGGTCGATGATAGAAAGCAAAAAAATATCATCTCGATCATGCCATCTATTGGGTAAGTTGATTTGTTATTCGTTGAATTTAAACGAATGAATTAAAAGAAAAACTTGTTAACATCGTGAGATAAATGAATTGAATTGATTTTTTTTCTAATCTTTTTTTAAAATCAGGATTGAATAAAACCTTGATGAGAAGAAGAAGAAGAAGAAGAAAATCTTTCAGTGGTATGGAATAACTAGTTTTTTTGCTTTCTTTCCTGATATCATCATTTGATTTTTGGATTTTGAATGCTAAATGCGAAAAAAATGATAAAAGGCAATCATCGTTGTCGTCATCATCGAATGTTATTGATATATACTTGAATGAATGTCAACATGAATGAATTATCTTCATCAGTGATTGATTTCATTATCATCACCATCATCAACGATTCAATTGAATGAAAAGTTGGAGTTTTGATTTGATGGCAAAGTCATTTTTGTTGTTGTTGTGATTTTCAATAATCTTTAAATAATGTTTTCGTTTAGAAAAATTCTTCAACAAAATACAAATAATTTATTGATCAATATTGGTCAATATCAACGATCAACATTATTACATACAACAGCCATATGGTTAAATAATAATGATAATCATCATGCAGAATCAACAACAACAAATAATAATGATAATACAAAATTATTTGAACATGAAACAAATATACGTTCATTAAATTTAAAAAGAAATTTAAATAATAATGATGATGATCAATTACCCGGTATGAAATCAAGATTTACAACTGAAATGAAATTTTTAGATCGTTGTGATGAACAAGATACGATTAAACCATTTCGTATATTAGATATTGATGGTACATTTGTTGCTAAACAATATGAAAATCAATTGGATATTAATCTAATGAAAAGATTTTATCGTGGTAAGTTGTTGCAGAATTGAAGAATTTCTATTTTTGAATGTTTGTTTTGTATACATAGAAATCATACGATTAAATCAAATGGATGATATATTGAATCAGGCACAACGTCAAGGTAGGATTTCATTTTATATGGCATCATATGGTGAAGAAGCAACACATTTTGGACCGGCTGCTGCATTATCCGATAATGATTGGATTTTTGGACAATATCGTGAACCTGGTGTATTATTATGGCGTGGTTTTTCATATGAAAATTTTATTAATCAATGTTTTGGTAATCATATGGATCTGGGTAAAGGAAGACAGATGCCAATACATTATGGTAGTCGTGATTTAAATTATGTTACAATCAAATCATCATTAGCAACTGGATTACCGCATGCAGTTGGTGCTGCATATGGTTTTAAATTAACACAACAAGATCGTGTATCGTTTGCTTATTTTGGTGAAGGTGCATCATCTGAAGGTGATGTTCATGCGGCATTTAATTTTGCCGCAACCATACAATGTCCGGTTATATTTTTCTGGTAAGTTTTTCTAATTTTGGTATCATTTTAATCATCTGGAATATTTAAACAGTCGAAACAATGGTTACGCAATTTCTACACCTACACAAGAACAATATCATGGTGATGGAATTGGTAAATACAGATTTTCCGATGTTTTCAATATCATTTTTTGATTTTTGTTTTTGTTTGTTTGTTGAAATTTCAGTGGTTCGAGGACCTGCATTAGGTATACCATCGATTCGTGTTGATGGTAATGATATTTTAGCCTGTTATTATGCTGTAAAAGAAGCAAGAAAAATCTGTCGACAAGAATCACGGCCAGCATTGATTGAAGCAATGACATATCGTTTAAGTCATCATTCAACATCGGATGATTCATCAGTTTATCGTAGTGATGTTGAAGTTAAATCATGGAAAGAAAGTAGTCATCCATTGAATCGTATTGAAAAATTATTACGTCGTTATAATGTATTCGATGAAAAAGAGGAAAAAGAATGGCGTCAAAAAAATCGTAAAGAAATGATTATGTTAATGGATCGTTTAGAAAAATTACCAAAATTTCCAATCAAAGAAATGTTTACCGATGTTTTGGATCAAATGCCTAAAAATCTTCATGAACAATATCAAGAATTAATGGAACATTTACAACAATATCATCAACATTATCCACAATTGAAAAATTTTATGGAATCCTCACCAACAAATGAATCGATCAAAAGTAATTGAAAAAAATGGAAAAGTTTCACAAAGTTTTTAAAATTACGCGCGCGCCCTTTAGATTCTTTGCTATATTTACTCATATATGATTCATAATGTTTAAATAGCCACCGATTGTGTGTGTGTGTGTGTGTGTTGTTTGTTTGATGTTATTTTCTTTTGTTGTTATTGTTCATTTGGAATTAAAATTTTGTTTTAAAAAAACTTAAGAAACATTTTTTTTTCAATTCAAAAAAATTATCAAATATCTTCCGATATGGATCCAACATTGATTACAAATATTGAACATTTATTAAATGAACTTTATGATGGTGGTCAACGAACAAACGAATGCTCGAATGGAACAAAATTCGAACAAACAAATCAGCTATTAATTAATCTACAAAAATCAAAAGAAGCATGGTTATTTGTTTGGCAATTAATGGAAAAAAATCGTTCAATTAATGTACAATATTTTGGTGCATCATCATTATATGTTAAACTAACTAAATATCATTATGAATTAGATACGAATAATTATAGACAAATATGGATGAAAATTATTGAAAATCTGATTAGTTATATGGAAAATCCAGAATTTAATCTAATAACAACAAAATTAATATCATGTTTAGCTGTTTGTATTGTACAGAATATTGATTCTGAATGGAATAATGCATTACAAGATTTATGGACAATATTTCAACCAGTAAAATTACCAAATATTCCATCAACACGTGTACAACAATGTTTACTGGAAATATTAAGTGTTATACCGGATGAATTGAATCATCCATATCGTGATAAAAATCGTAAACATTCAGCCAAATTGGAATTAATCAAGCATGCTGAATCAGTATTAATGTTTATTTATACAATTCTTTTGGAAGAAAATATTTCCGATAATATTACAAAAATTTGTTTAAAATGTTTTCAATGTTGGTCAATTGGTTTGGATACAATCATATTGACTGAAAATCATACGGAAATTATTGCAATAATTTTGAATTTAATTCGAAATGAAAATACATGTCATGAAGCTGTTGAATGTTTAATTAATATTTATACAAATCCAAATCTAATTAAACAACCAAAAATGATTATCCGATTAATTGAACAAATGACAATCAATTTAAGAAATGTTATTGATCAAGCAATCAAAGAATCAAATCATGATTATCTTCGTGATCTTTATCTATTGTTTATATCGATTGGTGAATCACATACCCGCTTGATATTAGATTCATTAATTGATTTATCATTAAATCAAAATATAATGATTGAATTTTTTCATATCATTCTAAAATGTAGTCAAACACCAAATTATTATGGTTATGATGAAACAATAAGTGATTTACCATTTAATTTTTGGATAAATTTCCAGGATGATCTAATGGCATCGGATGAAAATCGTATACAAATTTATCTGAATATATTTCGTGATATATTTCATTCATTAATCAATATTTTTCTGTTTAAATTACAATATCCACCTGATGAAATATATGAACAACAATGGGATAAAGATGATCGTGAAAAATTTCGTTGTTATCGACAAGATATTTCCGATACATATGCATATTGTTTTTCCATTCTGAATACATCATTACTGCAGATTCTAATGGATCATTTTAATAAAGCATTGGCGCAAACATTGATGGCCAGTTCGAAAAATAATAATGATAATTCAAAAAATCAAATATCCGCTTCGATTCGTTATCTGGAAGCAGTTATCTATGCATTCACATCATTAATGGAAAATATATCACCAAATGAAAATATATTTATGCCACAAATATTAAGTTCATTTCAAACACTTTCCACTGATTGTTTACAAGATTCTCGATTATTATCAACAATAAATTCATTTTTATCCAATTCAGCTGATTGGCTAGCTAATAATATAAATTATTTTCCATTCTCGCTGACAATCATATCCAATTCATTAAAATCGAATGATCAAATGGTTATTATATCGGCTACAATGGCATTAAAAATTATAACCAATGAATGTCAATTAAATCTTCAACCATATTCAATGGAAATAATACAAATTTGTGAACAATATCTTCAATCACAACATTTACAATATAAAGAACGTGCTAGATTAATGCATTCATTAGGTACAATTTTATCAATAATACCATTAGATTTAATTATGCAAACTATTGATCGAATTCTGATACCAATTCTATCGGAAATGGAAAAAATTCTTCTGATTGATAATCAGCAACAACAACAAAATAATACAGAAATACGTCCGCATATTAATGGAATTTTGTTAATGTTATCGAATTTGTTTGCAAAACTTGATGTCAATCTGAAAGGTACCGAATTGGAAGAAGGTGATCAGCTAATATCAAAATCATTGATCAAATCAAAAGCAAAAAATAATATACCACAACCATTATTGAAAATTTTTGAAAAAATTATGCCAATGTTTACCGTAATCGTTACAAATTATTCATATGATGAACAAATTGCTGAAAATATTTGTGAATGTATAAAAAAAACTATTATCACATTGTTGGATGATATTCTACCAATGATCGGTGCAATTTTACAACTATTAATACAACTTTATCGTGATTCACGTTCAATTTCAGTTATACAAATTTCTAGACAAATATTTCAATTATTTTATAAAGAAACAGAATTATTACCCATATTGCAAGAATATTTTTATTCATTATCAACAATAACCATTGAACAATTTACAAAAGATTTTCGTGAAAATACTTATCTTGTACAATGTTTTTATGAAGAATCCGCACAAATACTGCGTAAAACAACGATAATATTTCTGTATTCAAAATTAAATCTTTCCGCATTGTTTGATTGGGCAATTGCCGGTATTTGTTTACCGGAAAAAAGTACTGTTCATCAATGTTCAATATTTATTAGTGAATTTTTGAATCAAGGTAGACAAAATGAACAATTTTATAAAATCATACAGGATATGTTCGATTTGTTAGTGATGAAAATATTTATTGTTATCGGTGGACAACAAGGTTCACCATCACATTCAGTTGATTATATGCCCGATATAATTATTGTATTGAATCAAAAATATTCGGATAATTTTCAACGAACGCTGAATTCAATAATCGATTATAATGATTTTCCAACCGAATTGATTAAAAGAGAACAAAAACAACAATTCGTACAATCAATTTCAACATTACGTAATAATAAACGACGTTTACGTGAAATTGTTAAAGAATTTAGTTATCGTTGTCGTGGACTATTCGGTGTAGATAATAAACATTAAGTCGGGTTGGTTGATTGATGAACAAATCTATTCTTTTCTTTTTTTTAATTTTTAAAATCTTTATATCTCTATATGGAATGATTTTTGTTTTTTATAATTTTCTTTTTTTTTTAAATTAGTAAAAAATTAGTAAAATACTAATAAAAACGAAAGTATAAACTTGTCACAGATATTATATATAAATATAAAAACAAAAACAACTAAATTGAATGTGTGTGTGTTTGTTTGTGTGTTTGTAAGCTTTCATTAAATCAAATCAAAGCAGAAAAATATGAAAAAGAAATACAAAAAGTTATCTGATGAATGGATGGATCGATGAATCAATCTTGGAAGAGAGAGAGAGAGAGAGAGAGAGAGAGAGAGAGAAAATCGAATGATGGACAAAAGAAGAAGACTATGGCTATCTTGTCAATGATTTTCGATTTGTTAATGGTTCATTAAATATCCATTTTTCACCAATATTATGAAACATCTATTGTAAAAAAATTGGTTAGATTTTGGTTTTGAATCAAAAAATTAATAAAAAACTCACCCTATTTTGCCATTTACTTGCCAATTGTTCACGTTCTTTAACCAATTCACGTTGTCTTTGTTCAATTTGATATTTTGCTTCAGTTGCTTCATCAACATTTTGTTTTTTCAATGCTAATGTAACATGTTTCCATAGTTTTCTTGATTCATAATCTTCTTGTTCATTAATTGGTTTTACTTGTTTTTTTATCACTGGTAATGTTTTTGTATCAACAAATGGTTCAGATTTTGGTTGTAATGATTTATTACGAATAAATTTTACTTCCATACGACCATTCCATTCACCATTTATTGTTGCTAATAATTTTGTATTTGGATCAAATATTTCTGCATTAATACGATTACGTTTACCACCATAAAATGGTTTTGTTAAAAAATCAATTTTTGTTTGATAACCAGATTTTTCACATTCAATCTGTACACTACCACCAAATTCAAACCATGGTTCAGTTAATATTGAACGACCATATGCACTTGGAAATGTACATGTATATTCTTCATCATGATCCAATAGATAAATTGAACCTTTACCAATATTATTTACACCTATACTAAGGCCAAGAAATTTACTTTTTGTCCATATTTGAGCTATTTGAATCAGGATTTTAAAAAAATGAATGAATGAACAGATTTTTTCAATTGAAAATAATACAACAAAATCAAACTCACCACAACACATAATACGTTTTTCAATATTTTCAGCATAAAATGCTGATATTGGTGGATGATGTGATACTTGTTCGGCAATAAATATTAAATCACTTGTTTTAGCCCATGGTAATGGACTATCATTATTATTCGTTGTTGTTGTTGTTGATGATAGATTCCAATAACATCTAAATACTTCACCCAATATAGGATTATATGGTTTTTTGGCTATTGATCCTTTACGACCAGCATGAAATGCTGATAAATACCATCTTGTTACCTGTATCATACGTTCTTCAGGTGTTTTATAATCCGGTATGCTAAATAAATTATTTTAGAAAATGAAAATAATTCAAATCTTTAAGACAAACATACCTGCAAAAAATATCAGCATGTGCAAAAAAATCTGCATACATTTCTAATAATGAACGTCTTTCCAATATAAATGTTGGCAGGGCAACTTTTGTCAAATCCATACCAATTTTAACCTGTGAAATTAAATGTGATATAACACTACCATGTGATTGTATTCGATGACATTGTAGTTCATCATTGGAATCATCACTTGATTCATATAGTTTATCAAAATTTATTTCATCATTATCATCGACCACAGAAGCAACAACAACATTTTGACCATCATCATCATCATCATTATTATTATCACATGTTGATGATGTTGTCATTGATGTTGCACGTAATGATAATTTTTTTGTTGAAGGCATTTTTATCAATGACATTGAATTATCGGAATTTTCTGATTCATCATTTGCATCGAAAAAATCATCATCATCATCATCACCACTACTTGCATATGATATATCTGGTATTGTTTGATTATAATAATTTTTTATAAATTTATCACTATAAATAAAATCATCTAAAGTTGATTTATTTGGTTGAAATTCAGATGATGATGATTGTTGTAGTTGTTGATTTCTAATCAATGTTGATTCATCATCAACATTATTTAAATCTGGTTGTATAATTGAAGAAATTGATTGTTTTTCATCATTATCATTAACAATGGAAAAATCATTAATTATTGTAGCATTCTGGTTGTCGGGAAGATTATTTTCAGGAACTTTATTCAATAATGATAAATCTTCGGATGATTCTTGATGTTCGGATTGTTGTTGTTGTTGCGGTTGTTGACGATATATTCCGCTGACTGGAAATTTTAGATTCTAGAACAAGAATGACAAGAGAATTTTAAAACAAAAAAGAAAGGAAGAAAATCAAAAATTACCTTGGCAATCTGCAACAAAACAATCGTATGTTTAATTGAATCTAAAAAATATGTTGAACGTTCTTTTAATAATTTTATCTGATCCGTAGATTTATCATCACCAATAATATCATCACCATTAGCCGTTGTTGTAATTTTTGAATCTAATTTTTGAAATTGTTTTATCAATATCTGTAAATATGAATCAGTTTCAATTAAATAATGATTAAATTTGTTTAATATTTTTTCATCATCTTCATCATCATCAATATCATCGATGGATCGCTGTTGTTGTTGTATAGGCATCAATAAGGCATTCGAACGTTGATGTTTTTGATTCTGTTTTTTATTATTATTATTATTATAACGAAAACGTCTATAACGTCGTTGTTGTTGAAATAATTCAATTATATCCGATAAACTATTAATCCATTCATCACGTTCTTTCATTGAATGTGCTGTTTTTTTCGTTGAATAATGTTGAAGTTGAAGAAAAAAAAATGATCAGGAAACAAATTTAGAAAATTAGAAAAAATCAATCAATAATTTAAAGGATATACACACGCAAACAATCAAACAAACACCCTATAACAATATTTACAACAACAACAACAACGTTACAAAGGATTCTATAAAAGCTGAAAAAAAAGTTTTATTTCAATAGAATTTCTTCTTCTTCTTCAAACAACAGAATTCAAGTGGAAATTCGTGTGTTTGTCTATCAATGTTTATATCCCTGTTGTCAGCAATGTTATTTTCATTTTCTATTATTATTGTTCATCACATTACAAAGGCGCCCATTACAACACTCCCTGGCTCTCTCAATTTTTTTAGCAAAATTGAAAACATACATTACATTACACATTACACACACACAAACACGCATACAATGATCACACGCATATAGAAAGAAACCATAAAAATATAGAATTTCATTCATTTTAATTCAATTCATTCGTATTTGATCGATACTAAACGAAACATACACACACGCACACATAACATAAACTTCAAGATATTATTTCTGAGAATGAATGAATGAATGATGAGAATATTAATTTTCATTTAATAGAATATTCTATTCTACTTTAGATTCAGAGAATATTCTAATGATTGTTCCCCATTGGATACAACGAGAAAAAAATTTTCATAATCAAAAATGAATGATCATTTGAAGGGAATTTTGGTTTTAGTTAGTTTTTTGAAACTTTTCTTTCATTCATTCATCGAATATTGGGAAGAAAAATAAGGAAAAAAACAAAACATTACCTTTACAATGAAAAACTTCAGTATCGGATGTAATTGAAAATATTGTATCATCATCATCTTCAATACCTAATATTGCATCACGTAAACGTATACAACCACGACGATCACCACGTACTAATTTTTCTGGTGACTATGTTTGAAGCAAAAATGAGAACAAGAGATTTTTTAAATGAAATTTGATAATTGAGAAAAACAAAACAAAACAATACACACTGTATAATATGATAATAGACCATTGATTTCATCCAAAACAAACCAACGTTGTTGATAACCTTTCATCATATTTGTCCATTTTAATAATGGACCTTGCATGATAACCATCTAAATTTGTTGTTGATGATGATAAACAAAAAATTCTTAATTATTTAATGGGCGGATAAAATTTTGATTACCTTTTTGGTCGAGTATTTCAATGGAAATTTTACAATGTTTTTTTTGTTCCTGATTGATTGAATAGCTGGCTGGCTGGTTGGGTGTATGTGATTGATAATGTCAATCAAAAAAAAAAATTAAAAAAAAGATGATTTTTATCAGAAAAAAAAATTTATTGCGATCAATTTTCGATTCAGCTGCTGAAAAGCATGAAAAAAAATATTTCCAAGAAATATTCGAACGTTTTGATTTGGAAAACTTTCTTGGAAATCAATTGATTCGTTTTAAGGCGGCTAGATGGCACCACCAGTTTTCGAATATTTACTTTTTTTTTGTCTACTCACTCAAATTTTTGTCTTTTGATCAATTGTTTTGACATTTGACAACCAAAATCATTGCTAATTACTTCAAATTAATTAACACTTTTGAATACTATTTTTAACTTTGAATATTCAATTTTGACCAAAACGGAATAACTAAATGGCCGGTTAGCTTAGTCGGTAGAGCGTGGTGCTAATAACTAAAGTTGACTTTAATGGTTCATTATCGGATGCCATTTGAAGATGTAACAAGTAACGCCAAGGTCGTGGGTTCGATCCCCACACTGGCCATATTTTATTGATTATTTTTTTTTGTTCAAAAAAAATTATTTTTTATTTACAAAATGAAATGAAAAATGAGAAAAATTATAATACAGATCAGGTGATGATGATGGATATGACAATGATTGTTTTTTAAAGTTTGAAAAGTGTTTGAGAAATGAAGAACGAACGAAAAAAAAAATGAAAAGAATTCAATAAATATGGAATCGAATGAATGAATGAAAAGAATAAATAATTGGAAAAAAGGGTGATTCTTGAATTCTGTTTGGATGGTTTTTCGGATTTCAATGATAAACATAATCGATTGGAATAAAATGGCTAAATATTTCATATAATAAACGTGGATACCAATGTATACCATTCGGTATTGTTTTTGTTGTTGAATTTGATGATGATGGTGACATTTGTTGTTGTTGTCGATGTTGTTGTCGATGATGATTTGGATGATAAACATTCAATAATTTTGAAATTTGATCACCAAATTCAATAAAATTATAAACAAAACGTATTGGTAAAAATGATAAATGGCTTAATTGTTGGCTATCAATAATTGCATAACAAGATGCAACAATATTATTTACTAAAATTGTACCGGTATTTGTTAATGGTGCATAAATTCCACGAGATTTTTTCGTTCGAATTCGAACGATTCGTTCCATTCGAATTGATAATTGTTGTTGTTGTTGAACCAATAAATATTGATCAACTTCGATTTTCGATACAAATTCTTCATATTTATCGGAAAAATTTCCCGTATTTGAAATAAATAATAAATGTGCTGGTGTTGCTGTTATTCGTGAACCAAATTCCGTTTCAATTTCATAATATAATCTTTCTATTGTTGGATTACGATCTAAAAACATAATAACCGTACTCAATTCTAAATTACCGGTATCCATATTCATTGTTAGAATTCGATCACCAATTTTCAACTTTTGAATACTTAATTGATGACCATTTTCATCCACTACTGTACTATTTTGATCAAAACATCCACCATTACGAGCTGATTCAGATTTTTCTATAATAATTTTACGAGAAAAAAACGAAAAAACATTAAAAATTGAAATTTATCGATACAATCGATTATCATCTTTATTTGATGTGGCAATAATCGACCATCAATGGACAAATTATCATTTTAACAAATAAATGATGATGGCTATCAGTCGATTATTACTCTTCACCGAAATCTTAATGGCCAATCATCATAATGTTCGTTATTATTTTTTTGGCTCTTATTTGTTATTAATTAAAATGCAATTTTCAAACGACCAAAAAATTTCCGAACGATAAACATTCATTGAAGAGAGAAACAAGCGCACATAAAATTTTATGTGAATCAAAACGTTTTATTTCAAGGGGAAAAAAACGTTTAAAAATGAATTAAAATTTTTTTCTTCGTAAATTGCCGGTAAATGTCATCAATTTTTTTCATTGATGGTGGTCGCAAGTTAGTCAGTGTGTGTACATTCATTCATTCAATCACAGACATCATGTCATCGATGATGTCGTCGTCGACGATTGATGGATGTATGGATGGTTGGTAAAATTCACCACCAACAATTCATCAACATCGACATTATCTTTGAATTTTTTTTTTTGAAAAAGAAAAAAAAATTTAAAATGTCATCACCGTTGTTCGATAGATAGATGTTTTCGGACAGACTGACTGACTGACCGAACCGATGATCATCGATTATCATCAAAAAAAAAAGATGATGGCGGCATTCATTCAAAATGTGATCAATGAGAAACCACAACAAACAAACAAACAAAATTCATTGTTTTTTAAATGCTGATCATCATCATCATTACATCAGAGAGAGAGAGAGAGATACTTTAAAAATTTCTTATCTAATCTTTGATCTTGAAGGAAATAAATTATTTAGCAGCTATAGACGAAACAAAACTTAAAAAATTCTTGTGATGGATGGATGTCTGAAGAATTTTTTTTTTTTTTTTTACCACAAAAATGAACGATTTTTATAATTGGAAAACGATAAATGTGTTCATGTCAAATGATGATAATTTGACAAACAAAACAAAAAAAAAACATTGAATGAATGTTGGATATTGAAAAATAGATTACGATTTTTGTTGTTGAAAATTTTAAAATTTTTAAATTTTTTGTTTTGCCTGGAAAGTTTCTCTGTTTAGTTTTTTTTTCGTTTTCCACCAATTCTGATAATAATGATTATTGCGGCAAGTTTGTTTCATTTTTGTTTCTCTCTCTCTCTGCTTGGTGTAAGTTTGTTAAACATTTAGTTTGTTTTGGTTATTTTTCCTGATTCTGTTTTCCAATTTTCAATCAATCAATCAAATCAAGATAATCGTATTATCATTTTTTTCTGGCTAAAATTTATTTATTACACAACAACAACAGAAACTTATTGTTGTTGTTTTTGTTTGTTTGGAAAAAATCTCATTTCCCAAACAAAACAAAACAAACAATCGAAAAATAGGATAACCCTTTTTTCTCGTTTTTGTTTAAAGTTTTGTTCATTCAGCAAAAAGCAGAAAATAGAATTGCTTGTTGTTGTTGTTGTTGTCGATTGTTGTTGTTGTTGTTACCTTGAATAAATAACAACAACAACAAAGAATGGTAGAGAGAAAGAGAAAAAAAATCAATTATCAGTTCAGTTTTTTTGGTCAATTGATCAATAATCATCAAAAATGATAATCGATTAGATCCGTGGGTAACCGAAAAAAAATAAAAATTCGTCCTTCACTCTCTCTCTCTCTCTCTCTCTCATCAAATCGATACGATCGATTTTTGCCTTCGGGCCACAATAACAAACATTCAATTCCTTGTTTGTCACCAAGATATTCTTTTTCTTCTTATGACATTTTTCATTCATAAAATAATTATTTTTTCGCTATTTTGAAAAACATTGTTGTAGTTGTTATTGTTGCCCATAATAATCATCGTGTCATAATCATTATCATCAATAAAATAATTTAATTTGTTTTTTCTGAAAGAAAAGTTTCTGGAAAGAAGGAATTTCGGAAAAATTTTATTGGGCATTTTTTATGGGCAAAATTTGCCATAAATGTCGACAATAATAATCATTATCGAAATGAAATTTTGATTGATTCAATCGATCGATCAATCGATGATTTTTATAGAGCGAAAAAAAATGTGTTTTTTTTAGGAAAGTTGCCGGGAAATTTTCCGGAAAACTTTTTTTTTGAAAATGAAAAAAATTTTGTCCTTACCTGATTTAACTGAACAATGTATATGAAAACGTGATTCATAATAAACCCAATCAAAACCAGCTTCAACTGCTAATCGTGCAAGCATACCATATTTCGAACGATCACGATCACTTGTTGTTATATCAACAGCTCTTCCTTCATAATGTAATGAATTTGATGCATGTGAACCATCTTCATCCCAACCTTCAGTAACACGTAATCTAACACCAGGCCATTGATTCATAACCGATATGGCTAATGTATTTAATTTTTCTTTTAATCTCTGCAGGGGAAAATGTTTTTGGGAAAAAAAATTTGATTAGAAAATTTCTGAAAACATTTCTCAAAAAAAATGGACGTAATTAGATTAATTCGCAAAAAATATTTTGTGACAATTTTCATTTTCGGCTTGTCTGTCTGTCTGTTTCGAAGATAACTAATGATGATTGATCATAAGATGATTTTGGGAAATGTTTTTGGAAAAAATTTTCTACCGAATTTGACAATGACCGATCATCTTCATTATGAAATCTTTTCGGGAATTTTCTTCTGAAGATGCGAATGAATGCAGAATCAAGATTAACAGATCACGATCGAAAATTTTGCTAATTTATTATGACATTTTTTCTATCTTCATTTCTCTTGTCTAAAATAGATATATTTGTCACCTTTAAATCGAACTCGATCGATCAATTGATTGATTGATTTTGATTTATTTTTGCAAAGAAATAAAGAGATTTTGTTTATCGAAATTGAAACCACAAGAAAAAATTAATTTACATAATGTTTGGCGTTATTTCAAAAAAGTTAATTTGAAGTGGTTTTGTGTGTGTGTGTGTGTAAATAGGATTATCCCAGGAGAACAGGTGTGCTTAATACATTGAAAAACCAAAAAGGTATTGCCAATGATGATGATGAGATTAATTCCTTGAAAACCAAACAAACACTACCTGTTTTTTTCCTTTAATTTCCAAAAAAAATCAAACTTTTTCCTACCAAACCAACCAACCAAAATAATTTACTTTTTTTCAATGGAATGGATAACAAAAAAAAAACAAAAATCAATTTGCCGAACAACCAAAAGTGTGGTAAGTGGGTAAACAAAAACCAGAAAAAAAATAAAATAATTATTCTAATAAGCTAAAGTGGGAAACAAAAAAAGCCCATCTCAACAGAGCAAATTCTTTTCATTCTTGATTTCTGGCTTGATATTTAAGGGAATTATCGGCTTTTGGCTACTGCTGCTGCTGTTTGTTTTTTGTGTTTGTTTTTTGCTTTGTTTGATTTTGTGAGATGAAATTCTGCCAAACAAAAATGACAAATAATAATTTTCTCGTTTTGTTTTGTTGTTTTTTTTTTGAATAATAAAGCCTTGAATAAATATTGTTGTTGTTTTGTTTGATAAAGATTAGGTAAAAAATGAGAGAAAGTTGCCGGCAAAGTTGTTAAGAAAATTAAATATTTTTTCATTTTGTTTTGTCATTTCATTCAGATATTTTTTTTCTTTTTTCTTTCCAAAATGAATTCCATTCATGACATTCATTCATTTTGTTTGTGTGTGACATAACTTTCCATAAGAATTAATCTTTGTATTTTTCTGTTGTTGTTTTTCTCAAATGGTGGTTTGTTTTTCTGTTTTGTTTTTCTGTTTTTTTGACAAACAAAAATCTCTCAAGTTAATATAGAGTCAGTGAAGAATTTTTTGTTTCTTTGCCTTATTGATTTTGATTTCGAAAACCGCAAACAAAACAAAAAGAATGTTGTTGTTGTTGTTTGAGGGAAAAATTTCCGGAAAGATTATTTAATTATTGAATGTAATCTGTTTTTTTTTAAAAAAAAGGTTTTCGAGAAATTTTCTTCTATTCAAATGGAAGTTTTTTTTCAATTTTTTTAAAAATCAATATTTTGACCTTTATTTAGTAAACACTTTAGTGATTCAAACAAGTGGCCAAAGGTACGAAATTCACAAAAAATTATCGATCAAATTTGATTGATTGATTGGCTAGATTTTTATGAATTTCAAGTATTGCATGTTTGTTTGTTTTTTTCATTAATGATTGTTGTTGTTGTTTACAAACAACAACAACAACAGCAAACAACAACAACAACAACAAATGTTTAAAATTCCACAGAATTTTTGAATAATTCAAGTGAGAGACACTTGAGACAAACCAAAACAAACTGAACACTGAACACTGCTGACACCTGTCAAAATATTATTCTTTCTCTAATCTGGTTAATTTGATTAGGTTTTTTTTTGAGTGCAAACAACCAAAATGAAAATGAAAAAAAAGTAAACGACAGAAAAAATTCATTCGAAAATTAGTCAAGTGAGCAAAAACTTTGTCGAAATGAGTGAAAAATGCCGAAACAAAAATTTGTCTAATTTAAAACTTGGAACCAGGTAATTTTACCATTGAGAAAAGAATTTCAACCAAAAAAAATCGAACCGTGAGAAATTTTTTGAGCCATAAAACACAAACTGGACACTGACCAATAATCAATAACTTTCTCTCGCTCTCTGGTCAGTCTCACCCAAGAGTGTGTGAGATAGAGGGGGAAATTCCCAAAAAAAAATTAGCCAGAATAAACCTTCTGGCAATTTTCTTTTCTTTTTCAGGAATTTTTTTTTTCCAAATTTATAACCCAATCAAACTTTTTTTTTAAATAGAAATGTGATTATCAATCGATGATGATGATGATGATTATTGGCTAAATAAAAAAACTACCGTGTTTTTTTTTTTTGGTTATTGAAGAGAGACGGAAAGTTTTCGGAAAAGAAAAAGTTTATGGAAAAAAGATTTCATCCTATATATATCATCACTGATCACCCAACCATCCATCCATTCATCTATCCTATCAACCCACCTACACCTATTTTCACCTAAATGGTTATTATTGAATTGAAAAAATAAGCATCGTTAATGATCATTTATCCTTGATCATCAACATCATCAGATGCCCAACAACAACAAGGATCTAGGATACGAAATTTCTCTCTCTCTCTCTCTCTCTCTCCCTCATCAATTCTTTTCAGCAGCAGCAGCAGCCAGCCAATATAATTCATGACCTGTCATTGTTGTTGTTGTTGTTGGATGTTAAAAAACCACAACAACAACAACAACAAAAAATGAAAACACCCAGTGAAAAAATGAAAAAAATTCTTTTGGAAAAAAATATAATTTACGTTTCTTTCTCTGTGATTCAAACATATTGAACCAAAATCTTTCAAAATGTCAAAGGTGAGTTTTTCAAATTTCAAGTTTCCTTGGTTGCACGAGCTTCTTTACCATCATCATCAACAATCCATTCAATCAACAACAACAAACAAACGACAACAACAACAAAAGTCATTGTGAACAACAACAACAAATTTTTTCAAAGAAAATCTTCGAGAAGAAAAAAAAAACGCACCCAATCATCATCACCATTTTGTTGTTGTTGTCGATGATGATGATGATCGTCTTCGTCGCTACCTGTGTATGTAAATAATAATGGCCACCTAGCTAGATTGAAAATTGAAAAAAAAACGAAACGAAAAACGAAACGAAAAAAGTCGAAATAGCCATGACCTGTTCTGCTCTGTATTTCGGTTCAGTTTTTTTTTCGTTATTTTCTCTGGTTTAATTTCATTTCGTTTATTTTATTTTAATGGAGCACCAAACACACACATACCGAATTTAAAGTTGTTTTTTCAAAGAAGGAAAAGAAAAGAAAGTACACAGGCTATATACACACTAACTATCACCAATCATGATCATCATCAACGATGGTGGTGGTGGTTGTAATGGTGGTCGGCCACCATCGAGAATTTTTCTTTTTCTTCTTTTACTTCGTTGACTTTCGGTCGGCCATCATCATTTGATGATGATCATCATCCAAAAGTGTATTTTGGTAACTTGTTAGCTATTTTTTTCAAGTCGATCATCATCAGTGGATGATGAACAACCAAAGATCAAGGTTTTCCCCCCTTTTTGAATCTCCCCTTCCCTATTGCTCCCCCTGGTTATCTTCACAAAAGAAGAAAAAAACTATACCACCACCGAACAACAACAAAAAAAAGACCGCTTGACCATCAATTCGAATTTCTATATCGACCCAAAATGCACGAAATCGAATAAACAAAACAAAAAAAAACTATAAATAACAAATCAAACACAATAGCCAGGTTGAATTGAAAAACCTTTGAACTTGATCTGAAGAAAAGAAAAGAAAGAATGTAATGTAGTGACCTTAGTTTTCGCTTTGGTCACTCCTGGTCATCATCATTATTATCAATGATTTATAAATCATTAATCAGTGTAAAAAAAAAGGTATAGGTTAGGTTAAAATAGCTAGCTATACAGGTATCCAGATATATAGCCAAACACGGATGTTGGACACCTATTCACACACACACACACACATGACACAATAGAGTTAATATAGGTATATAGATTTTGAAAAGTTGAAAAGTTGAAAATTCAAAAAACAAAAACCGACCGACCAAAAACTAAATTGAAAATTTACATCTTTTTCATCACCAACACCACCACCAACATCGTCGTCATAAATAATAATTTATGTTCATATAAAAGATTCGGCTTGTCATCATCATCATCATGGATACCTGTGTAAGCTTTGTGTGTCGTGGTTTTTAATCGTTAGTTTGATAATCAAAGAAATCCATATGTCATGTTTTTTTTTGGTTTTAAATTCTTTTTTTTTTTTAGTTTTGATGGCCATGTTGGCAAGAATTCAGAAGATTTATTTCAAGCAAATTAATTAATTTTACCTGGCTCTTCGCTAATTCCATATGGTGATGGTGATGATGGCAAAAAAAAAAATATTAAATTCATTTTTTTTTTGTTTGCAATGAAAATAGAAAAAATAACACTGATAATCTTTGTTTTGGAATAAAAAAAAGTTTTTCAGAAATTTTCTCGGAAAATTTTCTCGGGTAAACAATCCGTTTTTTTTGTTTCGAATCTAAATTCCTAACCTAAACGGCGACCTTAAAGCCTAAAAAAAATCATTTTTTTCTCACACTTGAAGAACAAAAAATTAGTTTTTTTTTGTTTTGGATATCAAGATATGTTATCTTGATTTTCACAGCGAACACGAACGAACAGAGAAAAAAAATTAATTTGACAAACAAACACCAAGCCTAAGAGACTAGACAAGGATAATAAATAATAAAAATTTGTCAACTAAATTCAAAATTAACACTGAAGTGAACACCTTGTTTGCAAAAAAAATCAAAACTTAAATTAGACAAAAAAAAACAAAACAGGTGTTGACACTTATACCATGAACAAAAAAAAAACACATGTTTTTCCTATTTGACCTATGACCATTCTTTGAATGAAAAAAAAACCAAATTATGATGATCGGAATCAGAATCAGAAACAAAATCACCCTGTTGTTGGTCATAATGGTTGATTAAAAAAATCCGAAAAACAAAAAAACCGAAAAACAAAAAAGCAAAAAGCAAAAAATCAATTTTAAAAACCATAAAATTTTCATGAATAATCATCATCATCATCGGATTAAACCACAAAAAATTGAACCAAAACTGAATCTGATCTGATCTATCATCACATTTACGAAAAAACATAATCTTCCCTCTCCCTTGAAAACAACAACCACCACCACCAAAGAAACTTTTCGAAAAATTAGACTAGACTTTTGAAATGTTGAACTTTTTTTTGTTTTCAAACTTGATCATCGGTCATCATCAAGTTGGATGATCAACCGATGATGACCGATGATACAGAGGATAATCAAATGACCAAAGCTTTACTGCTGTTGTTGTTGTTGCTGTTGATGATGGTCATTAAATTGTCAAAAAAAAGATTCTTTTAATTATTATTGGCGACGATGATTGGCGACGAGCGACGACCACGACGAAGATCACGGTTTATCATGATCATCATTCATTCAAATTATATTCAAGTTTTGATAAATCCAAAATGACTTTGATTTGGTGGTGGTGGTGGTGGTGACCACATCATAAAAAATCAACACCAAATACATCATCAGTTTGATGATGAGAAGAAAATCTTCTTCTTTCTTCGCTTTTTCTAGGTGAAATTTATTACCTTTTTGGTTGTTGTTGTTGAGCGAATTGATAATGGAAAAAATCCGAAAGAAAGAAATTCTTCAAAAATTTGAATTTTCTTTTTCCATCAAAACAATGATGATGATGACAATCAAATAATGGAAAAAATAATGAAAGGGTTTTTCGTTTGTTTAATTCAAAAATTTTCACGAATTTTTTTGTTCATTCAATCTTTGCGAAACAAACTCAAACTTTGTACACTTAATAAAATTCATAGGTAATTAAATCTATAGATTTCTAAATCTATTTCTGGTAAGAGATGGATGCTGAGAATATTCATTCATTCATTCAGTCGATGTGTGATGTTTGTGTGTAATAAAACTTGTCATAAAAAATTAAAAATCAAAAATCAAACATAAAAAAAACATACCTGTGTCATAAGACGATCAGCACCGGTACCTTCTTCATCTTTAAATAAAATATCTTGATTATAATTTGGTACTAATTCTTTAAAACGACGATGATTTCTTGTTATTTGACCTTCATTTAGGCCGGATGCACCTAATGTATTTTCCGATACATTTGGTATATGTTGTTTAAATACTAATGGTATAAGTTTACGTGGACTACGACGACGACTACCACCACGACCTGGACCACATGATAATGTTGATTGTACAAGAATCATCATAATGATCATGATGGTGGTCAACCAAGGCCTATGATATGTACTTTGTGAATGGTGTGGATGGTGATGGTAATATCGTTGATGATTATAATGATAATTCTGTTGTTGACTATGATGTTTTGGTTGTTGTTGTTGAGATCTTTTGCTTTTCATCATGATGAACCTTTGATCAATCATCATCGATATTTGATTAATAAATTTCAAAGTTCTTTTCATAACTGATTGATCTAATGGTAATGATAATGATGATGGTAATAATGTTTGATTTGTAATCAATTTGATTGATTTATTGCTATTTTGTTGTTGTTGTTGTTGTCGACTGATATCGTTTGTAATGATATTTGTTGTTGTTGTTGTTGTTGGCCATATTTGATGATCATCATGATGATGATGATCATCGTAGGCATCCATAATAATATTCGTCATTGTTTTAATGTTATTATTTTGATTGATAATCATCATTAATTTTAATTAATGACGATGATGATGAACTGAGTACTGAATATTGGACACTGATGAACTAGATTATTCTTGTTTCTTCGACCTTCGATCAATCGATGATGATTATTATGATGATACTTTGAAACAAACAAACAAAACAAAAAATTCTTTCTTTTTCTCCAAAATAAATGAAAATAAAGTTCAAAGTTGATCGAATAATCGATTGATTGATTGATTGAAAAATCATTCATTAACCAGAAAAACCTGGTTACATTCAAAACACACACACATCATTTTGGAGTTTTCTTTGATCAATCGATGCGAAGAATATTTGATTTTTTTTTACTTTAGAATCATTCTCGTTCTGTAACCAAACAACAACAACAAAAAAACGTCATACGACCATATTACGTTTGATAAAATCCACAACAAAAAAAAACACCGAAAATTAAAGAAGTAAAAACACAAGCACCGGTAACCGCACTTAACCGAAAAAATATGTTTTGCATAAAACCAAGAAAACCGACACGTACAGAAAGCCAGAGCCAGCCAGTTATTTATTTATTTACTGGCCAGAAAAAAAAACAGCACCGATAAAATTTTGAGGCATTTTCAACTCAGTGTTTGATTTAACTTTTTTGTGTGTGTTTCTTTGGTTGATTGTCGACGTTGTTCATTTGATTTCTGCTTCCCTTTTCACAGTTTTTGATGTTGTTTTTTTTTTGATGTCTGAGGCCGTGTAAATATTTGCATATTACACACACTGCACAAATTTGCTGACTTTATTTTTTTTTTTTGTAAATTTGGTTGCTAAATAACCAAACCTGATGATTGCTGCTTGAAGTTAACCAGAAAAAATTTTTTTTTGCTGGGTAAATAAATAAAAATTGTCGGCTTTTTGTGGCTTGTGTTGTTGTTGATGGATGTTGTCGATGTTGATGATGATGGTCATAAAAATAAAATAAGAATTCACTTGTTTCGTTTATTTCTACTTTACTTGTTTCATCAAAATGGTCAATATTTTCTTGACCGAAAAACATTCAATGACGATGTGTGAAGGTGTGAAAAGTTGATGATTTCAGGGGAAAAGAAATTTTACTGGAAAAAATATTTCCGAAAAACTTTTTCTCAATTTGATTATCAATTCAATTTGATTAATCGATCTTTTGATTAGCTAGAATGGATCAATATAATTGTTGTCGTCATTTAGAATGGAAAAACTTGTTGCCTGATGACATTTGTTTGTTTGTTTGTAGTGAAGTTTGCGAATTGAATTGACTGAATGAATGTCCAAAATCAATCACACAATTAGGTTTTTTCATATTTTTTGTTTGTTTCACTTTGTTTTTTTGGCAGCCAGAAAAAAGAATTTTGGCCAATGAACGATTGATGGTCATCTTTTTTTCTTTTTTTTTTTTTTTTGGAGTGGGAGGGTTGTCCTCGAACAAGTGTAACAAGTGATCAAAAAGGTGTGGCCTATGAAATGAATTCCAGGCCCTATTATGATTGGTTATTCGAAACAAAACAAAAAAAAAGGTAGGTATAAGCTCCACCCATTTTTTCGTCTTCTTCATTCTATAGTGATTTTTGAATTCAAGAACAAACAACAAAACAACCAGGTAGCAGCAGCTAAAAAATAAGTTTTTTTTGAGAAAAGAAAAGAGAGAAATTCTTTCACAATTTGATGGATGAATTGTAATGAATTTTTTCTTGGGGGGAAAGTGTGGAGGGAGAGATAAAGGGGAAAATGGGGGAGGGAAAATGAATGGTTTGTATGATGATGATGATGATGGAATCCAAACTATCATTAATCGTGAATGTTCGTCGTGTTTTATTCATTCATTCATTACATTCCATTTCTTCATGTTTGAATCAAAGAAGAAGAGAAAAAAAATCAATCTTTCAAGAAAATTTATAGAAAATGATGATGATGATAAAGAGAGAGAGAGAGAGAGAGAGAGAGAGAGAGAGAGAGAGAGAGAAATTGCGGAAAAATGATATTCTGGAAAAAAGCGCTTTT